GAATGCCTTTGGGGGAAGGCATGCACTGGGTGGTGGCAAAGGAAAGGAAAAGTAAAGTGGATGAGATAAGCAGTATTAATGTGGCTCTCTTGGGCAATGGCATTTCTTACCCTCAGAGTCTGGGGCTGACAGAAGGGAAGCAGTCAGGGAGAAACAAAAGAAGCAGCCTGGGGTAGATGAGGGGCAAAGAAGACAGAAGGTGTCCCCTGGCACAATCAGAGGGGGGTGGAGGGCTGAACATTAACCAGGTGCTCTCTTCTCATCAGCTCAGCTAGTGAATCAGTGCCAGCATCATCTTTGCCTGGGAACACATGGTCTGGTGGGAATGGCAAGGTTTGCTTACTTTAAAGGATCAAGATAAAAATGGCACAGTGGGCAAAGTGCAACTTTGGGCTCCCAGGCTGTGGCTGTTTTGTGCAATTTCTGCATACATTTGAGGTCACAGATTTTCTTTTGCATTTATTTCTGGATCAATATAATACCAGTTTTAAAACAATTCCCAGCCTGGGAGGACAACACTTTTGCATTCAGAAAAATGCATTATTGTATTCATTTGTGGTTCTGGCAGAAGCAAAACCCAGGGAATACCTTTGAAAACCAAGGATTTACCAGGAGGTGCAGACAGGACGATGTTCTAGAAGCCAGTCTCCCACTGATTTAGGAGTTTTACTCACATTAGCTCTGATCAAAGTCTTTGATGGCTGGCCCCAGAGATCTCTTGGGGCTGTAGATCTTGGGAGAGGAGGACAGAGATGACATATCACCTGCAGAGACAAATGTTAAGGGAAGCATAAAACCCAGCCTGACCATGGCATGCTGTGTCACCAGATGCCCCTGATGGAGGCCGAGGAACAGGAGGAAGACTCCAGCTCCCTCTCAAATGACAAATCGGAGAGTAACTCACATCACTACCTCTGCTATGTGCCCCTTGGGATTGCCTTTCTTGTGCTGGCTGGAGCTGCTGCAGCAACCTGGTATTTCCTAGGTAAAAATTCACATTTTTTCCCCCCTGCAGGAGGTGGATGAGGTGTAGTCAAAGCAATGCCCAGCCCAATGTTAGTGACTCTGAGTGATCTTTAGACACTCATACACAGGGGTAAACCCCACTCTCCTACATATCACCAAGGTATTCCAGTAGTATCTTCTGTTGGCAGACTACAGACCATGGCACCTGGAACCATCCATCCTGCAGTTTTACTGTGGCAGCCTCCAGGTCCTCAATCGCTGGTACTCCCCGGACCTTGGGCAGGTGGAGTCCAGAGCCTTTTGGGTGGAGTCAGCTAAGCTCCAGAACATGGTGAGAGCAGTTTCATGAACAGTCCCTGAGGCCTTTCAGTGAGTAGAATGAGGAAGGGGTCAGGTACCCCCATCCAAGGACAGACTTAGTGGGTCTATCCAGCAAGAGGGATGAAACTCCGGATTGGCCATAGGTCCTTTGCCACTGTAATATTGCACTATAGTTATCAGATGACATTTTCTTTTCAGCTGAAGGAACTGATTCGTGCCACAGAGCTGGGTCGATATTACAACTCGAGTACAGTGTATGCCTTTGGGTGAGTAGCATCCACAGCATATTCGCTTGTTCGTGTGTGAAAGCTTCCAGTCAATTGTACTCTGGTTTCACTGAAACCTGGCCATGACAAATTTCTGCAGTCCCCCCACACAAGCTCCAGGCTAGGCTGGACAGTCCAGATTCAGAATGGTTCCAGCATAACACAGCTGAGGATATTTTGATGTTCTAGTTCATCCCAGGCCATGATGAAAAGCCAAAACTGAGAAATTTTTCAGAGAGGCAAAAGTTCAAGAGAGGAAAAAAAATTCACTGGGAAGAGATGAAAAAAATTTTTGGCTTGGTGTTATCAGTAGAAACCAAGCAGCTGGAAATTAATTTGTCTAATCCAAGGAAGTAATTTTATGGCCTGATTCTAGGCACCAAAAGAGAGAGGTCAGAATGCACCATGGAAAAGGTATTCCAGCCAAGAAGCATGGACCATCTGGGAATAGGATAACAGTAGAATGGGACAGATGTGGGACTACAGCTTTACAGATCATAAAAATAGATCATAATAGCAGAAATAATTTCCAGACTAGTGGTCATTTGCTTCTGATTTTTTTTTCTATGCACCCCTAAATTTGTCCTTCACCTAAGAAAAATTCCAATTTTGATGTAATTCCATTTTCAACTGGGGAAAGAAAAGTCTCACTTGCAACTCTTCCTCTAGCCTTTTACTGAACAAAGGTTTGTTTCAACAACTCTTTGCCTTCCCCTACCCCTTTTTCTCAGACAGCTGGTTGAACAGAGCTTTCCCAGTCACAGTCTCCTGCAGCTTGAACCTGCCTAGCATTAATGGGTTGTATGAAGGTACTGAGTCATAAATCATCCACTTGTCACCATTTGTCACCACTGGGAGGTGGGACAGTGAAGTCTTGAGTGTTTCTTTTCAATCCCTGGTCAGTAGTATCCAAAGGTCATTTCTACCTGAAATGAGACTACTCATTAGACCAGTCCTGATTAATTATCGCATTAATTTGAGCTCATATGGTCATCACTAAAGCCAGATGGCATAAAAAGGCTCCCTCCCACGAAGCACTATGCATTGACTCAAACCATGGACATTGCAGCTCTCCTGCCCCACTCGGAGATGTTCCTCTGGATCACAGCAGCGAGATGGAACATCCACACAGATATGTCTGATTTGTGGAAAACAGTGTGGGGGGGTTAATCTCTGGGGTTTGTCTCTCCAGTTATTCTGGAGATGAAGAGAGAGAATATTTGACATGATATTTCCCTGTTAGGGAGGGGGCTCTGACCTTCTTCTTCTGGTTCACCCTCCAAATCCCTGAGAGTCAGCAGAAGGAAACAACTGCTGAGAAGGTAAACACAGTGCTCCATCAAGAGCTCTCCACCAGCTTCAACAGCTCAGGCAGCCTGTCCTATCAGAAGGAGTACAGGGTCAACCCAGATTCGCTGGTTCTCCTGGGTAAGTACCAGCTGCTCCCTTGTGGCCTGAGCAATCAGAAATGCTCCCAAGATTTGTAAGGTTAGGAGTCACTACTGAAGGGGACAGGGGAAACCTGAAGAAGAAATAGTAAGGATCAGAAATACAACTACATTTATTTCTTCCTGATAGAGAAAAAATTAGGTTTGATTTTTAAAAAAATCATTGTTCTTTGAAGGACTAAATATTATTGGAGATACAGCAGTAAAGATTATTGGAGATACAGCAGACCATGATCAGCTAGGTAATTTTTTTTCCACCCATCAGCTTTGGCTTCTCTGGAGCAAGATCTTAGACAGGTCATGACTTTGATCAGCTCAGCTTGAAAATAGCAAGCAATTAGGTTTCCTACTTTCCTTTGGGAGATTATTCCAGACAATTTGATAGAGAGAACAAAAGCAACACACCTGAGTCACCACTAAGACTTCTTCTGAGACAAAGTACTGTTGCCATTTCAGTACCTGACTGATTTTAAATCTGATGATTTTAAGGATTATTTATTGTTGCCCACAAAGAAGGTCCCAGCCTGTTTAAAAAGCCACCCATACAAAACTGCTCTAAAATAAGTGTTAGGAAAAGGACTAGGGATGTGTCTATGTTCAATGCATCCAAGTTCAAGGGAATTTATATTTGATCTTTATAATGAAGCTTAACTTCTCAGCCTGGTCTGATCCCTCTTACAGATTTCCAAATCTCCCAGGTTTTAAAATACATTATTTTTCTTCTCTCCTCTTGGGAGTCCTATTTCCAAGTTTCTTCTTCTCTTGAAATGTTACATCCCCGGGTTTTTTTCCCTCAGACGTGCTAACCTGCACTTTTCTAAGATGAAGCTTCTTTTATTATATCCCACCCATATTTTCTTTAACTTTTTCCTCTACATCCCAATTGTTTTGTGGGTCATTTTTTTGGTGTGTGTAAAGAAAATTGTATTTCCTCAAAATGACTTTCACTCCCTCATCCAGACCATCATTTTAAGATCTTATTCTGAAGCTGCATTAGCATCTCATGAAGACATCTCCTCCCGCAGTTACCATCAGTCCCTTCTACTTATGATTTGTTTCCAGCATACCAGACCTTATGTTCAGCCAATCTAAATGAACTTTCTTGACAGAGACATCATAGGGAAGTATGCTTCCAAGTGAGCCCATCTAGCATTTTCCCTTTATTTCCTCACTTCACAACGTAACTCATAAACAAATAAAAATGATGGCGCCATACTTTTAGCTATTCCCAGTTCCCTCTTACTCCCTTTGCATCTGTTTCACTGTTTTATTCATTTCATCAGACCACATTTCTTTCTATTTTGGACTTAACACACCAGTTACAGTTTCTCCAGCTCCTTCTGTTTTCCCTAGTCCTTTCCACCTTCCTCTTCGGTCAGAAGCACAGTCTAGCAACTGAGGCAAAAGCCAAAAACCTCTCATACTGCTGGTCCAGGGTGACCTCAAGCCAGTGACTTAACCTCTGGCTTCCTTTGCCCTGTAAAATTATAGTGAAAAAATAGCTAGCTAATAGCATGTCATTAGCACTTCATTGCTTTCTGACAGACTCATTTGCTGGCCTGTTTAGCTCTAAACATTCATTCTGCCTTGAGACGCAGAGTTGGAAACCATTGATAAGTGCAGGAACCTCTCCAACATCTCCAGTGATTTATTTTTATTAACAGCTACACTCACTCCAGGACACCAGCTTCCCCTTTCCCCAAAAGTCTTTCAGGGTATCCTTTTCCCTACAGGAACTCAGTTATATTGCCTTCAGATACAAGAATACTTACTATCAGCTCAGCACACACCCTTCCCTACAGCACATAAGCTTCTCTAGGAGCCTGCCTTATGCCTGCAGGATCCTCTTTTCCATAACATCTGTTTTTGCTATGACAAAACCGCTCATTTCTCCCCACAGAATTGCTTAGGAGCTACAAAAGACCAAAGCCCTGACCTAGGCAAGCCCCCAACAGCAATTCTTACACCCAACTGACCTCACAGTGTCTTTTATTTTGGCAATTATTCCCAGTAGCACCTGATCTTTGGCTGATTCCAGTTCAGCTGGGAGGCTGGAGGAAAGCCCAGCTCTCTAAAGTGTTGTCCTCCCTGTGACTCTGTTTTGCACAGATTTATAATCCTTGCTGGTGACTTTCTGTGCATCTCCCTTCTCCAAAGTTGGACTCTATAAGGATGTTGAGTAGCTCATCAACCAGTGATCATCAGAACAGACCTCCTTCTCCACCCTCAGTAACTCCTGTATTTTTCAATGAGGGTTCTTTAAACTGGGAGAGGAGATGGTGAAGGCTCTGGGAAGGGGGACTGTGCTTGTGGTGTGACTGCCAGAGGAGGGAAATTACTGCTGAAGCAATGCCTATCCCTCTTGGGAAGAGGTCCTGGAATAGCACACAAAAAATGGACAAGGCAAAAAGCAGAGAAGTCCATGGTGGGCTGGAAAGCATGAATTGGGGCTGTGGGATTTGGGGCAGAGGGCAGAGAGATGAGTTGTGGAAGGCATGGCTGAAACAGGTCCCCAAGAGCAGACAGAGGATGCCCCATGCCGAAGCTGTGAGTGAGCCAGTTACGTAGGAAGGAAGGGAGTCCTCACCTGCTGTGCTAGCATTCAGATCCAACCAGTTTATCTTTTGGTTTATCTTCCTTTATACATTTTCTTTCTAACAGAATCCAGTGTGAAAGACATAGCAGTGCTGAAATCCACTCTGGGTAGGCTACCTTTTCCTTTCCTTTTGAGTTCATGACTTTGTGGGAGGGATTTTCACAGGGGACAGAAAGCTTGTAGGCTTCCTGGAGCTGTAAAACTTGGGAAGGGAAGAAGAGAGTAGGAGCAAGGGAGCACTAGTGCTGCTGCTTGGCCAGATGCAAACTGCATGACTCAGCTGTATGGTGGATGGCTGACATGACATGGCATCCTGACAACACTGCCCCTGTAGGCGTCCACTAGGCAGACATATCAGCTACCAGGGGCAGTGCAGCCACCTTAGTCTTGTCCTGGTCCTAATGAGAACTATCAAGTAGCTTGGTGAGCTGGTACAATAGTGCTAATTTCAGGCCCCATGCAATGTTGCTGAACATGTGTGTGGGCGGGGGGGTGGCCATTTCCTGCGTGGCTCTGCATTGGATGTGCTGTCAGTCATTTAGGAGTCTGTTGCCTTAACAATGTTTGAAGATGCTTTAAGTAATTTTGGCCAGTGTTGTAAGTGCTGTGGCTGGCAGCTTGCATTAAATATGCTATTAGAAACTCACCTTAAACTGATATTTACTCAAAAATTCTGGTGTGAAGGTCTTCTGAAACCTGGAAATCACATGAGGGAGATGTAAAGCCAGGAAGAATATGGGGCTGAGAGAAGAAAAAGGTGAAAAAGAAAATAAAACCACTGAAAGAAAACTGTGCTGTGCTGATATTTAAAGCCTGAGGTAGTATTAGCTTACTCAAGGACAATTCTTACAGAGAGAAACTGTAGCAACAATATAAAAGGATCGGTGCCACCACAACATATGTAAAAGTAAATTGCAATCACTGGGATGAGTCAGCCTTACCCTAAAATGGGGTTCACACTGATGTCCCTAGCAATCTCATCTCTTAATTTCCCTTACAACCACCCCTAAGCCCCCCTTTGCCTCCATTTAGATCACCCAAGCATTTGAATCCCTCTATCTTTCCCTTTGATTCAGGTTGCTACAGGTACAGCTATGTCCAGGAGGATGATATCCTAAGGCTGGAGGGCCCTGACTACCTGGCCTCCAGTTGTCTTTGGCACCTCCGTGGCCCCAAGGGCTACATGATCAAGCTACGCCTGGAGTGGACTCTCCCTGATTGCAGGGACCGCCTGGCAATGTACGACACAGCTGGGCCCCTGGAGAAACACCTCATCACCTCGTAGGTAGCTCCTGAGCTGGGGGAACACGGTGGGGAAGCCAGGCAGGATGGTGTGACACACCACAGCAGGGGAAGGTGTTAGACTACATCAGAAGAAATTCTCTTTGATGCAGAACCTGCCTCTTGCTGATCAGCTGAAGTCACTGATGTGGGATATGTATCGCACAGGCAGCTGTGCAGCACGAGCTGTCTCGCTGTTGGCCCTTTGTTTGGTTCAGTTGTGCCTCACAGCCGGCATAGGCTGTGTATGGATAACACAGACCTCCATTGTCTCTCTCATTCTTCTCTTTCATTTGTTTATTGCTTGCTGCACTCTCATCTTTTTATCTCTTTCCCCTGAGGATCTATGGCTGCAGCCGGCAGGAGCCCATTGTGGAAATCCTTTCGTCTGGCCCTGTCATGTCCATTGTGTGGAAAAAAGCCATGTACAGCTACTTTGACCCCTTCATTCTCTCAGCACAGGCGGTGCCCCTCAAAGGTGAGGAAGGTTGGAGGAGGGCGGCTATAGGTATAGGAGAAGACAGGTCATCTCCAACAACATCACAGCTCCTAGAGGTCCTTCATCCCTACGAGGGGCAGAATTCACTCTGAATTGCAAGGGTAGAGGTGGTCAGTAAAAGGCAAGTTAGGTGTTGCTCCCTCACTTGTACTTACACACTAGCATGCTGCTCGAGCCTTTACAGCCCAGGTTCTGGCAGGCAGAGCCTGAGGGATCATGATACTTTAAAAGAAGGGTCTCATGTATGGACAGACCTGATGTGGCCTGGACATCACATCCACATGCACTCGCAGATAAATGTCAAATCTACATAAGACTCTAAGACAGCAATAGACATTATTATTACCCTTCTCTGGACAAGAGGAGGATGCTAAAAGTCTTGCTGGGTAGAAATGGCCACTTGAAGGGAGATGGCAGAACACCCCAATCACCTTTAGCATCAGTCACTTTTATCCTCTTCTCTAATGGGCTGGATACATGGCATCTCCACGCTGAGACTGAGCTGATAGATAGCAGGGCCTTCAATGTCTGTATTTACAGCTTGTGAAGTGAATATAACTCTGCGGGAGGGCCTGGAGCTGCAAGGGAAGATTGGCACCCCACATTACCCCAGTTACTACTCGCCCAACACGCAGTGCACCTGGCACATGATGGTAAGAGCCAGCTCCCAGAAGAGCATCCAACCCACCCCTGAAACCTGGGCAGCACTCCACACGTGGGGAATACAGCCATTTCTCTGAGTCAGACCATCATGAGAAGCAAGCAGTAGGTGACAGCCTGCCTAGCCTCCACATAAGGTGTGTTTCTGAAGGGTAAGGAGTCTAATATTACATACCAGCACAGAGATGCCACAGCTGAGGAGGAATCTGAAGTCTGGTTTCCAGGGGAGTTCTTCAAAGCAGAACCAGGGTGCTAGGAATTACCAGGTTTGACACCAGCAGCAGAGCCACCCTGGACTACGGCATGGCCCCGGTTTAGAGAGTGCTTCCTTCTGACCTGCAGTGTGGCCAGACACATCTGGTCTTCACATCTACCCTATTCATTTATGATTTATGGAGTGTGCTGCAACACTCGTGGGAGCCTTCTCTCCTCTGCTTTGGACACCCTTGTCTACAGGTCCCTTCCCTTGACTATGGAGTCACCCTCTGGTTTGACGCCTACGCACTCAGCAGACAGAAGCACGACCTGCCCTGTACCCAAGGCCAGTGGATAATTCAGAACAGAAGGTGTGTGTTGGGGTCCTGGTTTCTGTCTCTCACTTCCCACCTGGGATTAAACTCGTATTAAACCTCTACAGGTTCCCTGCTCGCTTCAGCCACCATACCTGACAAAGGCAAGCCTACACTCAGTGGCCACTGCTTCTGCTGGTGCCTCTTGCATTTCTGCTTTTTCGGTTTGTCTTGTTCACTGTCTCCCCAGTGAACACATTTCTTATGGATTTTCTTTGAGCTACCAGCCTGCTTTCTCTGTCTTGCTGTTTGCATCAGGCTTCTTAGTTTTCTCCAGTGTGTGTAACCTTGGTGTCCTCCCACATCTCCTGTGTTTGCAAATCTGCCTGTCACCGCCTCTGCAATATTATCTGTGTGTGCCATTGCCTTGCATCCACCTCCGTACAGATCTTTCCCTTAGCTCCATATCCTCCTTTTTTGACTGCAGCCACTCTGAGATAGATGGACCTACAGCTTTTGGGTTTCCTCCCACTTATTGCAAAATTGCCATTTTCCCTCCAAAACCTCCCCCAACCCATCTCATTAGTGTCTTCTCCACTGTTCCTCTGGATGTAACTTATTTTCCTTTGATGAGCATGATCAAGAAGCTGTGTTCCCCTGGCTTAGGATTTCTACTTTTTCTCTCCCCACCTTCAACTCTTAAACTGTCAGTGCCATAATCTCTACAACATGGTTTCTTCAGGAGGATGCCAAAGAAGAATCTTCTTACATTATAAGAACTGAGCTGCTTTGCATGGCCTGAATTCAGTGCTTGTCAGAAAGCGAGAAATGTCCAGAGATAGTGGGGTCACTCTGGACTCTCTGTCTCATGCATATTGAAGGCATTTTCCCTTCCTGGTTTTCCCCCAACACCAAATCTGTGTGGCCCTCTTCCCAACCCAGCCTCACCAAGCCCCCTTGCCCCACTCTGTTGTCTTCTCCTCCCTCCCTGTCCAAGCCATCCTGTCTGTGTTTGCTCCTCAGGTTGTGTGGGCTGCGGACCCTACAAGCCTACGCTGAGAGGATCCCAGTCTCATCTTCTGCTGACATCACCATCGCCTTTACTTCGCAGATCTCCTTAACTGGCCCTGGTGTACAGGCAGCTTACAGCCTGTACAACCAGTCTGACCGTGAGTTCAGGCTTCTCCCTGCTCCTTAGTGGGGTGGTGGGTACTAGCAGCCCCTGTGCACTTGGCTTGTGCTAGGAAAAACACAAGGCACATCCCGTGAGCCCTACACGCCATCCACTCTTCAGGAACATGCTCACAAGTCAGTGAGGCACGCGCCACTGGTCTCCCCAAAAGGAGAGGCATTTACGTGCAAAGCTGCTTCTGCACATGTGGCCCTGTCTCATGTTGCCAGAGCACCCATGTGACAAAACCCAAGGTCAGAGAGTTGTCTAAAATCTTACCCTCGTGCCAACATCATGGGCTGGCCTTGGGAATTCATTGAGAAATCATCTCTGCTTGAAACAATGTTTGTTTTGATTACGAGAGCTCTTAGAGCTTTTTCCTGCTCACCTTGGAATCCATGCAAACAAGAAACAAATAAAACTGCACACAAATATACATACACACATATACAAATGCTGTCCACAGTCTGTCTTTCCAAGGTTTCACCATCTCCCTCCTAAAGGGTGCCAGGAATGCATACCAGTCCCTGAAGACATGCAGCTGCCAATATGTGTCTAACACCAACCCTTTCAAGGTCCCAACCAAGTTTTAATAACAACTCCAAAGAGCCTATTTCAGCTTTCCCAGAGCATTCAGGAGACATGAAAGAGTACTAAACCAGAGATATGGTTTACCAGGCGGGTGGTTATCCTGGCTATTGCCCATTGGTACAATGCAGAACAGGGAAAGAGCCAGGTGCATAGCCTGGCTCCATTTGCCCTTGTTAAGAGCAGATGACGAGGCAGATTTTGGGGAGCACAGTGAGTGCTGCCAGCACACTGCAGCAGAACTTGTGTGGTCAGGAAAGTGTGCAACTCCGTGCTTCACTTTCAAGCCATGGTGTTCTGCTGCACAAGGTTTCCAGTTCCTGGGCACTAACCACTCTCTGCTGGTTTCACAGCCTGTCCTGGGGAGTTCCTGTGTTTGGTGAATGGCTTGTGCGTCCCAACCTGTGACGGGATCAAAGATTGCCCCAATGGGCTGGATGAGAGAAATTGTGGTGAGTGATTTCTTCTCCCTACTGGTCCTCGGTCTCAGCAAGACACAGCCTCTTGCTCCTCCAAAAGTAGGGAGAGTTGGGAAAGATTTGGTCAGCCTAGGCACAGCCTCATACCTCCCCCCAGGAACTTAAACCTCTGCATCCTTGAAAATCTCATCCCACTGCTGTCTGGCTTTAGCGTGCTCTGGATGGAGCAGCAATTCTTCTGGCTTCTGTGTGCAGCAGTCTTCCTGGGAGAACCCCCTAGTACCCATGAACCAAGAGCTCCAGGCAGCCTGAAAGAAGCCCCCTACCCAGGCTGTCCCCTACCTTGTCCTGCATTCCTCCCACCCAGGGTCTACTATCAACCTCAGCCCTGGCCTACAGTCCACTCTGCTGTCACACACTCAACATCCCCCTCCCAGTTCACACCTACCCAAGCCCACCAGCTGCCCTCTCTCTCTCCTTTCCCCCCGGGCCATTTGTGACATTTGATCTGTACAGATCCTCACTCACATATTGTGCCCCAGTCTGGGAGCATCAAAGTCCTTGATCAGCCCCAGACAGTTCTTCATCCCAACAGCAGTTAGTGCTGACACAAACACCATCCTTAGCATCCCAGCACTCCTGCAGAGCCCCATTTTTATAGGAATTGTGATTCAGGTTTAGACATGACACCTAATTCATCTATTCTCCTGTCTCTGGTGTAAGGGGGCAGCTCATCACGGTGTTGCCCCAACATCACTAACATTGTATCACTAACTTTTCATTAGTTGTCCCCTATGGTTGTTTTTTTGCAGACAAAGATCCCTGAGCTACTGGAGACAGTGGCCAACTCTGAAAGATTCAGAGGAAGGTGTAGGAAAAGTCTAAACAAAAAGGAAGGAGAAATCTTTCTCAAGGAAGTTTTAAGACAGTGCTAGAAATGTGAGAGCTCTCACAGGATCACCAAGGCTGGGGTTTGTATTGTCTGCAGTTTTGCTGACAGTGTTCTCTGTCCCATCATTCATCTGTCTGACATCAGGGTTTGTGTGCTTCCTTCATCTAGACATGTATGCATTTGCATCTTTATGAATATCTAATCCTTTCTTGAAGCCTGGTAGCTTCTTGGCCCCAGCGATATTGTGTCATTCAGTTCCACAGGTTGACACAGACCAAGACAGACAAAAAAAACTTTCTCGGTGTTTTCAAACATCCCTTCATATTTGAAAAACAAAAGAGAAATGTCATTATTTCCTTCCTTTCTTATACTGTTGCTTTTCTGGTTATTCACTCCATGTCTGTATGGAACAGTCCCTGTCTTTGAAATCAATGTTCAAGTTGCCTCAGACCTTCATGTGCCTTTAGTCATCTGGAATCCTCATGCTAATTAATAAAGAAATTACAGTCATTGCAGTAAGAAAATGCCCAGGAGGTACTGGCCCATCATGTTCTGTGTTGCACATAAATATGCACAAACACAGGACAAGTTCCTGCCATGGAAATGTGTGGTCAGAAGTCAAACTCTGTGATGGACAGGCATATCTCCATCCTGAGTGGCCATCAGAGCTCATGGACTCCATTGTTGTTCAGGACTCACCTGCAAGAGGAACCACTGGTCTGTATGAGATGGTGATCCATGAGCTGAGGGTGATAGCAAGGCAGAAGGAACAGTGACCTCACCTGAGGGTGATAGCAAGGCAGGAGGAACAGTGACCTCACCAGACAGGATGCAATCCTACAGAACCCTAAGAAGGCAAGCAGATCAGGTCTGGTGATGGTAACTGAGAAGTCCAGTGACCTCAAAGCAGGTATATAGTGCTGAGGCAGGTCTGAGGCCAAGAAAGAAAAGTTAAGTCAGCAACAACAAAGTGTAAGACAGGGTGCAGGCATACCTACAATGTAGGTCAGGCAAAAACTACACAGCTGCACTATACCAGAGCTGGTCTTAAGCACAGCTTATGAGGTGTGGGAAGAGTTTGTAGAGACTATTGGTGCACTGAGGACCCTGACCTCACACCTTGTCTTGTATGCCTAATTCGCATGTCCTTCCCTTCCATGCAGTGTGTCCTGCAAAGTTCCAGTGCCATGAAGACAGCACTTGCATCGAGTTCAGCAGGGTCTGCAATCAGCAGCTGGACTGTGTCAATGGGAGCGACGAGGAGCAGTGCAGTGAAGGTAGGGAGGGGACAGTGCTGGCATGAAAAATGCCTTCCCGTACATTTGAGCCAAGGCTGTTGGAAGCATAATTCTTTCATGTGACACAAGGACACCAGCTGGGAGTTAACTTGCCTGACCTGCTCACAATGTTTGTGAGCTGTTTGTTTGTTCAGGAAATTCCCTGTCATCATTTATGGAGTTCCCCCAAGCTCTCTGCTGGCTTTACTCCCCCACTTAAAGGACTTCAGGCTATGTCTACAACCAGCTGCTCTCCCTCAGCCTTGGCTCCCTTTCCTTTTTGCAGGGGTCCCCTGTGGTCCTTTCACCTACCGCTGTGAAGACGGGACCTGTCTGAAGAAACCCAACCCCCTGTGTGACACCACTGCAGACTGCAAGGACCTGTCTGATGAGAAGCACTGTGGTGAGGAAATGATCAGTTGCATGTCACTCAGGCAGGTTCAGGATGACATGCAGCTGAAGGTTGTCCCCTTTTTCCCCGCCACCCCAGAAGAAGTACCCACCCTCCCTTGTTTCACCACCTTCTCCCCACCTAGTCCCACAGCATCAGTGCTCCTGCTTCATCCTGAGGTGGCAGGGTCAGCAGCAACGAGCCAACTCTGTGCTGAACTCATCTCCTTCAGGCAGAGGCATCAGGCCAGATAGACGTCTCACAATTCAGGTTCAACCCACAGGCTTCCTGTTGGAGCCCTGTGTTGGCTTATGTGAAGTAATACCATCATACAAGGCTCCAGCCAGAAAAATCACCCATGTCTGCATGGCCACTGGCAGGGAGAGAATTTATGTTTTGATTTCTCTACTTGTTTTTTTCTGGAGCCTCGGTAGGCAGTGAAAGGGAATGACTGGGAGGGTTTCCTGACAGCACAGTCAGCGTGCTGCCCCAAAGGCATGCCCAGGCTGCAGCTGGAGATGGGGAGCACTGTGCAGGCATCAGCAGGGACGCACACTGGGAGGGAGTGCTCACTACACCTGTCTTGGGCAGTACATAAAGCATCTGCTGAATAGGTAAGGCAGGGGATTAGAGGTCAAACTCTTCAGTCAACTAAGTAGGAAACAAAGGGAAGGCACAGTATATCATGTTCCCTTCCTTCCTTGAAGTACCTGCCGTGTCTCCTTCTCAGACTGTGGGATGCAAGCCCCTCTCAGCAGGATTGTGGGTGGTCTGAATTCTGTGGAAGGGGAATGGCCATGGCAGGCCAGTCTACAAGTTCGGGGCCACCACATTTGTGGGGGAACACTCATTGCTGATCGCTGGGTGGTCTCAGCTGCGCACTGCTTCCAGGATGAGAGGTAAACGGAGATGGGAGGGTTCTGGATAGAAAGATTTGCATTGCTTGCCATGTGATGCATAATTGGAGGCTCTTCTGACTGGTGAAAATGTTGTGGGGCAGCTGCATCCTTCATCTGGCACCCCTGCCATGCTTCTCCATGGCTTGGAACAGGAGAAAGGGGTATGGATACATGCACTATTATTTAGGTGTGCGTGCAGGGAAAAAGGAGCAATGTTGGGATTCACAGAACAGCTTTGAGGCAATTTTAGCAGAAAATGCTTCACAGCTCCACCTTTCCTTTGGCTCTGGCATGTATCCATGCTGTCATGGCTCCAGCCATGGAGATGTCAGCAGGTGCTAGATGGGGTGAGATAGCATTACCAGCAGAGCATGCTGTGTTTGTCCTATGCTTCTCTGCTGCATCCTGCAGGCTGGCTTCCCCCTCCATATGGACCGTTTACTTGGGCAAATACTTTCAAAATGCCACCAGCCATACAGAGGTGTCCTTCAAGGTGATCCGCCTCTTCCTCCACCCTTATTATGAAGAGGACAGCCATGATTACGATGTGGCACTGCTCCAGCTGGACCATCCTGTGATCATCTCACCTTTAATCCAGCCTATCTGCTTGCCTGCTCCTTCTCACTTCTTTGAGCCTGGCCTTCACTGCTGGATCACTGGCTGGGGGGCCCTCAAGGAAGGCGGTAGGTTGAAGGTCTTTGTTGGTGGATTACTGTAGCAGTGCCAAGGCAGAAACATAGGTTCAGATGTGCGGTTGGCAGAACAGGCTTCTGTTCATCCCAAACGCCCTTTAGTCCTTTTAATTTTGGGTAACAAATCAAAGTTACCTGTTGAGTGCCCTGAAACCTCATTTAGAGAGGCAGGTTTGAGAGTCTGGTAATCTATATGGGGAAAGCATGTGTTTCTTCATTCCAAGACTAGAATAGTCCTTCAGGTCAGCTTAGTGCCTTCACCCGCTCACACACTTGCTCCTGCTGCTTCCTGAATGGAAACACTCAGGAGACTATACAGAGCTGGACACTCCTGGTTTGCATACTTAGGCAGAAAAGCTTAACATCCATTTCAATGAGAAACAAACTCAGGACTCTTGAGAACCTAGAGGTTTCCCCAAACCAGAATCCCCCTTATCCCAAAAGCTGAAGTGCCTACAACATATTTCTGTAAGGAAAGGCTTGAAAGGGAATTTTGCTCCTTCCATGAAGATGAAGTGCTCTACTGAAGGTCAGAGATTGTGGTGCCAGTGGAGAGCAGAACAGAAATTACAATGGCAGGTTTCAGCATGCAGCGAGGTAGGCATAGGCTGGGGGATCGTGGTAAACAGTGGGAAGTTCCACCATAACTCACCTGCACTGCTTTTGGTGCTCCACCTTTCAGGGCACATCAGCAATATTCTGCAGAAGGTGGACGTGCAGCTCATCCAGCAGAACATCTGCAGTGAGGCCTATCACTACATGATTACTCCCAGGATGTTGTGTGCTGGGTACTACAAGGGCAAGAAAGATGCCTGCCAGGTGACAGAGGAGTTGTGGGATCAGGGTTGACTGCCAGAGGTGGGGTGTGTCCCTAGTCTCGCAGATGCAATCCACGGCCTGTAATGAGGGCTAAAAGACCATAGAATGTCCCTTCCCCAACACTTCTTCTGATCTAAGTGGCCAACAACGGCTCTCAGGGCTACTTCTTCCCTTAGACAGTATCCAAATAGAGTTAAACATACCCTTTTCTCATTTCAGCCCACTCTCCACTCTTAACCTCCCACTTTCAAGTCAGGTGTCTACATTAGTCTCTTACAGCCTCTTTAGCACCTGTCACACACAGTAACCTGTCTGTTCCTTCATTACTATCAGTCTCCAGGAATTCTTCTCTCCCATCCCTCCCAGTATCCAGTTAAATTCCACCAGCTTCCTTGCTTGCCACATATTTGGAAATGCCATATGGAGCAGAAGGAAACAGTAGAGCAATCAGCTTCTTGGGATGTGACTAAGGGGGAGGAATTTGCATGATGAAGGAATGAATGTGTTAGGTGTTTGCACTGGAGACTGTTTTTGACATCTGCCTAAGGTACAAGGAATGTTGCAGATGTCCCAGGCATGAGCTGAGGGGATAAAAGAATCTGCACATAGAGGGACTCAAAGACAGTGTAATCACGCAGCAGGAGAAGCTGGTGGATCACCATCACCCCATTTTACTTTTCCTTTCTCTAGGGTGATTCTGGAGGTCCGCTGGCCTGCAAAGAACCCAGTGGCAGATGGTTTCTGGCTGGTTTGGTCAGCTGGGGAATGGGATGTGCACGTCCAAATCACTATGGAGTATACACCAGGATCACTCAAGTGCTGGGCTGGATAAACCAAACCATGAGCTGAGGAAAGTGCATCTCTATCTTCTCCCCATCACACCTACACTCACATGGCACATTTCTGATCTTGCTCACTTGCCTCTCAGAGAGTGTGGGATGTAGTCAGACCAGGATGCTCTTCTGAATAGGGCAAGAGAAGGCTGCCGTAGGGATTGTAGATAAAAGCAGGCAGACCTTCTTCCCTATCAGTGCCTCACAGGGAGCATCCCAAGGGGTTTTTAGGCCATCCATCCAAAAGAGGGGGGAAGGGAAAGGGGGGAGGAGGAGTTGGGGGCAATGACATGACACACAGCAATAGTCCCAAGTTGATGGTTCCTGAGAAGAGGAATAAGAGGGTTCATGAACTTTCCATGAACCATGTGATTCAGCCACAGTCTTATGCTGGAACATTTGCTGAAAGAAAATGTGACTGATGTAGTTAGAGATTCCAGTAACTGTGAAATCAATCTGCCTCCCTCTTCCTTCCTGCTGCTTATCCTTCATCCCCCTTCCCCTCCCATCACTCCTCCTCTTCCATCTCCCTAATTGCTTCTTTTCTTAGCTGGCGTGTGCTGTTCAGTGTGCTGTTCAGCTCAGCCAGGCAACTCTTCACGTCTCACTGACTCCCAGGCACGAGTCCAGCATTGCACCCCCAAGCACGTGTCCTGCCTTCCTGCTGGAGCAGCACCCAGCCTCCACTGCTGTACTTCCCTCAGTAAAAACACTAGAGCAGCCTCCCATTCCCTTCCCTCAGCCCTCCTAAATACCTTCAACATAAGGATGTCTCAACTGCTTCCATCTCCTATCTCAGGTAATGCAGGAAGTGAAGGAGAAGGCTTCAGGGCACAGTGCTTGAACTGCAACTGCTATGGGTTTGGGTTTTTTACTAAAGATACACGTATGTGTGTGTGTGTATATGGATATATACACAATGGACTGCTCTCTGGAATTAGAAATAAAATTAATCTGACGATTTTTTTGGCTCTAGTTTGCCTCACTTTGTTAAAACCTATCTTGGGGTTTGTATGTTTTTGACCAAGCTCCAGTCCTGGCACTGGCAACTGGCAAAAGTTTCCACACCCCTGCCCACTCCCTCACCCCAGGTGTCCCTAGCACAGTGGGGTCAATCCTTTAGCTAGACAGGTGGTCCTCACTTATTGTTATGATTTAGGGGTGCAGATACCAATAAGCAAAGCTGCTCTGTAGCCTAACTGCCTGCAGTGGGGATGAAGCACAGATGCAGAGGGAAGTACCTCCAGCCCCCAGAAGACAGGCACAGCACAAGCAGCTTCTGGTGGCTCCAGATGATGAATCCAAACTCCTTTTCTCCAGCTCCCACCCCCTTCTATCAGCAACGAATTCTTGGCACTTGAAATGAGAGGTAGCAAGGAGGAACAGATTGTGAATTTTATTCAGGAGTCTTCAGACACAGCAGTGAAGCAAATGCCCCGCTCCCCAAAACAGGGATCTCCTGGTGCTGGTTGACACAACATCAGGTACCTGGGCAGCACACCTGCCTCCTCCTCACCCTGCTGACACAGGGCTGCTCTGAGGGATAGGGAGGGAGGCACCAAGGAGCAATGCAGGTGGCCCAGAAAAGGACTGTGGCTGTGCATTTGCCCTCTGGCCACAAGCCCAGACCAACTGCCTGCAACAGCAAAAGGGCAAGGACTGGTCCTTCTGCAGTTGCCACCACCTCGGGTTCCCATTCGCATTCAGGGTGCTCAGGAAGGGACCGCAGGCTGCAGTGGCTGATTGCTTATGTCCCCACCAGGGGCCACTGTGACATTAAGGAAAGCCAGATTGCCAGGCATAGGAGGGGGCCGTGGGCTCCAGCTCCTACAGCAGCCCAGAGGCTCCATGAAGCATCTGCCCTCCTCCAGGGCTGGAGGCTCAGGCCTCTGAGGTGAGTTTGTAAAAAAAACATGACTGCATGTGAAGAGTGAAGGGGGCTGGAGGGCATCACTGTGGGGCAAGGGGCTGCCATACACTGCAGTACAAAAATAAAGATATAAACAAGAAATGAAAAGGCTGGAGTGTTGAGCTCACATCCTCAGATCTCTGGCTTGTAACAGCTATAGGAGGAGAGAGAAAGAGAAATAAAATCAACGGTAGGGAAAAGAGCAACTGAGCATGGAGAGGAGAGTGAGAAACAGAAAAAGGGAAATGACAGAGGAAATGAGAACAGAAGAAAAAGAAAAGAAATGTGGAGTGAGGGTGGAAAAAAAGAGCAAAAGGAAGCAAAAGTCCATGTGATACACTGACTTTTAAAATAATAACACACAGGTCCCACAACCATGGACAAGAAGGCTCTCAAAGAGAGGGAGAGAGAAATGTCAGACAGCTAACGAGTGCCCAGCACCAGGGCAGATGGAGAGTGGCACTGAGCACCTTCAGTTTAACTAGAGCCCCACAGATTTCCAGTATGGAAAGGAAATCCCTTTCTAAAGGTTTCCATGCCCTGTCCCACTCATGTCAGCCAGACAGCCTTCCTAAGCAGGAGGCAGAGCATAGAAGCTCATTCTGCATGCAGCTGTGAGAACATCTGGAGTGGGAACTGGTCATTTCTGCTCTGCCTTCACCACCCTTTCCCACTGCGCTCACACCCTGACAGGGCCAGTGGGGGAAAAGCCCAGGGAAATGGGAGCAGGGAGGGAAAAATAACAAGCTGCCTTCTGCAAAATGCTGGCAGGCAAAAGAGCTGCGGACGGCAGCCTGGAGGAGTGATCTGGCATGCGTGTCACGCAGACACGTGGCAAAATTCCCCCCCTTCCCCGAACCACCCCTGCCTGCTTTGCATTCATTTCCACCCCTTTCCCAGCTGCACTCTCCTTTCTGCTGCCAGAGCCTCTGGTCCAGAGCCATAGGATCTGCTCGGCAAGTAAAAGCACGCATAGGATGAGAACAGGTAGAGCCACCTTAGGGATGAGTCAACCTCCCTCCCTCCTTCCCCTCCCCATGCTCTACGAACCAGGGCCATACCCACAAGAGGGAAGTGAGTCACTCATGCAGAGCTCGGGCTGGCAGGAGCTGGGAGTGCAGACAGGTAACATACCTGCAGAGGAGGAAAAGTGAGGAGCAGAGAGAGACAGGGCCCTGGGCAGAGACCACTCTGAGCCCTGGGGGACAAAGAGAGCAGAGGGAAGGATGCTGGAGGCTGGAGGCTGGCGAGTGGGGCAATGTGGGAGGTAGATGACAGTGCTGGGATGGACACGGAGGGGAGCAGAAGGGAGGGTCCGCAGGAAGAGAGTTTAGCGCAATCCCGAATAGATGGACAGTCTGCAAATAAAAATAAAACCGTAGATAAATCAAACAGTTTAAAATACAAAGCAGCAGCCATGGTAACAGGTCTCCCCTCTCAGCTTTATCTCCAGAGAGACTCTAGCTCCTGGAGAGGACAGTCCCCACACCCCACACCTGCTCTAGTCCTTCCCTGCTGCTAGCTGTGAGCTCTCACCAGAAAGGTGGACGGGTCTATGCCTGGGGGGGATATTTTTATCATTTTCCTCAAGGATTTGCTGCACCTTTCTCCTCTGCTTCTCCTTCTGCCTCTGCCTCTGCCTCCTCCTCCACCTCCTGCTCTTCCTCCTCCAGGTCCTCCTCTGTGCTCTGTGGCCCAGCATGCAGGACAAAAGGAAGAAAGAGTGGAGATACTTGCAAGATGACCCATGGCAGTTCTTTCTGACACACAAGGGAATAAAGCAATTGTCATGACACTGGAATAAAAAGGGACATTTCCCCATGGCCAAGACAATTCTGGGTCAGGGAGCAGAGAGACTTTTTTTCCTCTGGAACATCACATCAGGGGTATCTAACCCACTTAAAAGTGCTGTGACCCCACTGCCAAACAACTGTCATCAGTTGCTAGTGTTCCTTCCTCTATCCTAGATGTCTGCAGGATGTCATGCACTGCCACACATTTCTGTCCCTCCCTCAAAAGGGGAGCAGGAGATATTGGCCCCTTAGGCTAAGACTCAGAAAAAGGAAAGAGAATGCCGCAAAACCTTCAGGGAAACAATGCCCTAAAGGCAGTGACACACACAGCATGGGCATGAGGAGGCATGAGGGGGATGTTAGAGTAGCATGAGAAGTGCCAGGGTCACTTGCTAAAGCCATTTGCCACACACAGCCAGATACTACCTCTCCAACACACACACTCCTCCTTTTGGGGAACGGGTGTAATGCCATGGTGCTGAACACCAGGACAGGCCCCTGTATTTCACCACTGAGGTTTCCCATGGTCACAGGCAAGAGAGGAGAGAGAGAGGGAGCAAACAAGAGTGAAGAATCTCATAGGCAAGGGGAGCAGGGCCATAGCAAAGTTGATCTCACCTTGGCTTTTTGGCTGGGCTCAGAGCTTAGGCCACTGGGGGAGTTGTACAACTCTTTGGAGACCACACACAAGAACTCTGTCTGATCCTCATTCCCATAATTATAGGACGAGCCAATGTTCACAAGCTAAAAAAGATGAGAGCAAGAATCACAAGCACATGTTCCTGCAAACATCTGGGGAGCAAGGCAGAAAGTCCACCATGCAGCATGGAGTCCAGTCCATACCCACAGTGGAAAGTCCTTATAACTAAGCTGAGGAGACAGCATAGAGAACCAGAAGTTAGCCAGGATGCAAAACAGTTTGGCCTCACACAGTATCCTCTAAACCTCTACAAAAAGGGCAAGAGAGAGGCAGTGTGATGGCTCAGTCAATGACTTACCCAATATTCTCAGAGATGTAAGGAGTCTTACCTGGGGACTGTATGATATCCATGATCTTTTCCCAAAAGGCAACTCCTTCCCACCCTGCTCCACCTTATCCATACCTGTTCAAAGCGCCATCCATCTGACATAGTGGAAACCATCTGAGTGAGCTCTTCTTCCTGGCACTGTAGCACACGGTAGACATGCTTAGGAGGCACCTGACAGCAAAATTGCAGAGCATGTTGACAATGGTCAGATGCTAAAGGCTGTTGCCCTCCTGTAGAATGAAGTGGTAGTATCCCTCCTGGACAGACCAGTCCTCTCCCTGGGTCCCAGGCGAAAGGAGAGTGGAAACCACAACCCAGCTTTCTACTCTGCTGTCATGAGGAGCAAGAACAACTCTTCTGGAAAGGAGGGGCTGAGCAGAGTGCTTCTTGCATTGTCCTCAGAAGATACTGGACTCTTTTGATGGAAAGTTTGCACTTGTCATTACAAAATCAGTTTTGCAAATGCTAGAAATGCTGATGGGGGTTTGCAACACTAAGTGACTATATTGCTTGAAGCTTACAACCTGAGGCAGACATGATGAAAAGTGAGATAGCAGCCAATGCTCCTTCAAAGACAGATTTTCAAAGGTTACTAGTCAAGACAAGGTGTGATTTTGCCACAGGATTTATTCCTGGTGACTCACTGTCTGCATTTAACTCTTTCACAGACATCTCTTCACCTGTTCCCTTCAGGTTTCTCTACAGGTATCTCCATGCTCTTCACTGTGATTACACTCCCAAGACTCCCCACACCAGAGCCCTCCTCTTCATGAAAACCTTTGCTCTCCTCACATTCTTCTATATTCCACAGCAATCAGCTTCCTTTTCCAAACACTAGAGGAGCTGATTTAGTTTCAGGGCCTACATCCAGCATTACTTCTGGGGATGCAAAACAAGCCTGTAACTTGTTTATTGTAATTAAGCTGGTGGTAGCTTGTCCCATGCAAGATTTTGATGTGTAGGGACCAGCACATAATCTCTAATTAGTTGCTCCTTTCCATTCCTTGCTGCTTCTCCCAAGTCTGCTCTCCCTCTAGACTCATCTCTCCCTTTCTACATTCCCTGCTTTGCCCACCCCACTGTACCTTGCCATACCTGAGTGACTGTGTAGTCCTTCTCCTCCATTCGATCCTTGATTATTCGGATCAAAGGACCAATGTTATAGAACTCAGCTTCTTCTAAGATCCCTGAGAAAGAAAGACAAAGGGATCATAAAGACAGAAAGTTAACCGTCCATTTCCATTTTTTTTGACTTGCAAAAGATCAATTCTGAGCTTCCCAAGGTCCATAGGGAGAAATTACACAGTAGCCTCACTTTTTAAGAGGTTTCCACTGCTTGAAATTCTTACTGCAGAGAATTGAACCTTGGCTCTCTTCATCATGTTTCTAATGCTCATCCCAATTTCCTTATGCTGCCTGCTACTACAGAAACAGGCACTGCCAGTGAAGGCTTGTGCTGAGGACTGCTAAAATCTTTCCCAGATAACTGGACAAGGAGAACAAATGTAGGCTCCAGCCTCTCTCAATGACAAGTCATCAAAAGATCCTGGGAAAGGCTAGCTTACCTCCTGGGACACTTGGAGTTACAGCCTGTGACTTCAGATGATCTTTGGCTCTCTTCCCTGTGCTTCACCTCAAAGCAGGTAAAGAAGAAGTGTTTTGGTTTTTTTCTCTATGGTGTCTGCATCCATCACCTCTCCTGAGGCTCACCTATCGGCTAACAGGCCTCCAGGAAAAGGGAGGTGGTTCCCAGAGGGTCAGGGAGGAAAAGGTGGCTAGGAGCCAACATTCACATGTCCCCAGGACAGTACACAGATAATGCAGGTGGGGAGATTGATCCTTCACTACCTGACACACTAAGACCTCTTTTGAGTCCCCCATTCAGCACTGAATTGTCTAATGGGTTAGTTTTATGCCAGCTTGTCTGCAGCAGGAACAAAAGGCAATGCTAAGCTATGAACTGGACTCCTGTTTATGTTTTAGATTTGATATTAAAACCTGTGGATGAACTCTGTCTGATGTCAGATTTACAAGAAATGTCAAGTAAGAAATATCTCAGAATTGTGCTTATTACAATCCTGTACCATTACTTAGACATACTTTTGGAATTATAACTGATAAGACGATTCTGAAAAAAACTTTCCTTGCTTTAGGTAAAAATGTGTAAGAGAGGCAAGAAGACTAATGAACATGCAGAAATTGTGCTTGGCAAGGGCTAGACAGCACAGCCTGTCTTTGGAATTGGGTCCTTATTAGACTCTGGCATCCAAAAAATAACAAGGCATTGGGGACTGCTGGCTGGTAACACTGTGATGTTACCGAGTTATCCTATTGGACCCACTGTCAACCTCAAATGAGGGATTGCTTTGTCTGGCTTGCTTAAATGGAACTGCTGCAGTCCACAACTCATCAGAGCACAAGCAGCATAATTGCATATCACTGATTAATGATGGTCTTTATTACAGTTAGTAGAAGAGATGAGATTGGTTTTGTTTGGTCTTTTGGGTTTTCACTCCTAATTAGAAAACTTAGTCATTAACAGAAAACTCAGTCACAGAACCTGGTAAAAGTGGATCTGGAACACGTGAAAAATGGTTTATTGAGACTCTGAGATATTGCCTACTTATATCGTGGTGACATCTCTGCTGGACAAACAGTCATGAAGTCACAACACTTGCAGGATGCCTTCCTCACCCACTCCCCTCTAGTAAAGGAGACATAAGTATGCTTCCCAAGAGCTGCAGGAACAGCTCTGAAATCCTCCCACGTGAATCTCCAAAAGGAGAACAAGAGACAACAGAGCTGACAAGTCCTGTTGTGTCCTGGCTACAGCAACAATGTTAAGCATGAGGTTTCTGAGCTCTAAGACTCACCCTCTTCAGCCATATCTTTATCCAGGACCAGCTTCCCATGACGGAGGAAATTCAGGATGGGTCCAAAGTAAGTGGGGTCCCGGTCTATTAGGTATGCACCAGTCTCATCCTAGCAGCAGAGATAAACCACGAGGAGAAAATACCCAAGAGAAATTTGTAACCAACCCTCGAATGCCCTAGACTATAAGAAAATACAAACCTAAGCAAAAATGTCCACTATTTCTAAGATTCCTTGGAAACCATAGGCCTCTGAGAGTCCCTAGCCAAGTCAGCCCAGCTTGGATTTTAACTCCTGTATTGATCTGCTCAGCATGCCCACTTCAGCAGGGATCAACCCAGTTGAAAAAGCCCAAAGAATAGGCATCAGTCTCCTTGTGCAACTGTGCATACAGGCCTGGCGTGAGAGAGCAGAGATCCCCTAGCAGGGGACGAGGCTGAGTCAGGCAGACACATCTGGGAGGTAGTCCCAGGATGTGGGGTGACAGAGAGGCAGGGGAGCAGGAATGGAGGGGAGATGGCCTCTCTTTTCCCCAGCTCCGGAAGACAGGTGTCAGGCTACAACACAGCAAGGTGAGATCTAGCAAGAGGAGATCTTCCCTTGGAAAAAGAGCAGGCATTCCTCAATCAGTTGCTCCTGCAGCTGTCGGGGTCTGGCTCCATCCCTGCATCCCTCCAGCCCTCCCCATGCTCGGTGGGGCACGGTGCGGGAGGCAACCCAGCTGCCTTACCCGGTCCGATTGCAGCTCCTCGCCCTGGCACAAGCGACAGAGGAAAGATTTCTGCTCCCGACAAAGAGTCTGTCTGGTGGTGAGGAAGACGGTGCCCCCCACATTAAGCCTCACCCACTTGGCCTGGGTGCCAGCGGGTGGCGGGATGTCCCAGGTGCAGCGTAGCCCCACGGCGCCCTGCATCTCCTCCCTGCCCTCCATCCTCATCCTCACCCCCACCTCCCCCACGGCGTGCAGGGACTGCCGCAGGTGCTGCCTATCGGAGAATGCCGGGATCTGTAGTTTATCTGCCTCTCCCTCCGCAGCAGCCGTGTTTCTTGGGGGACAGGATCTTCCCTGTGACCACCAAGGGAATCCTGAGAGGAGGAAGGATGCTCGGTGGTGGAGGATATCACTGCGGCTATTAGGGGTGGGCAAAACCACAACTCCACAACGCTGACACTTCCTGGGTTTTCCCCTGTTCCCGTTTTCACAAGCCAAAGGCAGGCCAGCACTCCGGAGGTGCAGAGTGTTATGCAAAAATCGTCGGCATTTATTTCCATAGACATCCTCTCTGGCTCATTATAAGGTTCTGGGAAATGTAGTTTCGCGGGGGGGGGGGGGGGTGCACAAAAGGGTGACGGGAACTGTAGTTTTCCCAGCTCGCTGTTCCTGCAATGAGGATGCTGTAACGAGGAGGGCTGCACTGCACTACCTGACCCCGGCTCTGCTGCTGGTACTCTGTCTGCTTCCAGTCCTTGGTCTTGTCTGCAAGCTTCCCCGGAGATAGGAAGAAAAACCTGCTCCCTGGCAGTCAGCAGATTAAGCTCCTCAGCTTTGTGCTTCACAGCATTCCTTCAGGAGATCCATTACCCCAGGCTCACAGCTCGGTGCTGCATCAGTTGCCATGCTTTCTTGCAGCAAAATATGCAGTGGCCTTCTTGCTAACATATGTAGGGACACTTCTGGGAACTGTATCCTTGATCTGCATGAAATGCTGGCACGGGTCAGGATTAATTTTTCTTCCAGCTCAAAAGTCACCGATTCAGCAAACTTCCCCCACTGTGCTGCTCTGCCAGCACAAACCATGCCAGGTAGAGACCCCCCTGCATCCTTCTCCTGTGCTCCTGCCACCTCTTTGTCTGGGCAACAGAGAGCTCAGATTTTAACTTAGCTCTGTGTGGAGTTTTACCTCTGCCCCAGGCACATATCACCCGCTGAGGCCGATGAGCCAATCCCATGGTGTGGAATTTAGCCCTGCCTCTGTCACTCGCTCCCGCCAGGCCAAACCTGGCGCTCAGCAGCCTGTGCCCCATGGGACTCTGTTCAAACGCATTCCTGGGCACGGACACAACCTGAACAAGCTCTCTCTCCAGCAGCTCTGCTTTTCCCACTCCCATCTAAGCACAGTCATGCTTGCCAGCAGCTTGAGCACACTAAGAATGGAAAGGAAAGGCCAGTGTTTCACCTCTATGTGGCCCAAAACCTTCCTTCACCTAAGTAACTTCCTGGCTCTTCTTTGCCAGGCAATGCAGCACTGCAGAAACGCCATGGTGCCTCGCAGACACTTTATTGTTCTTGTATCTAGAACTTCGTGTCTTTTGGGGAGGGATTATTGAGGGAAGAGGCTGTGTAAAGAGAAACATTATGTTTTACTCTTACATTCCTTTTCTTCTTGCCCTTCCCTCCTCTTTTACTTGCAAATTACTGCCTTTTATTACTACGGTATATGAAGGCAGTGCCACCCTTCCCCTAAATCATCCAGGGTTTCCTTCACAAAGACTGCGTGTGTACTTTGCTCCTTCTGTGAAGGAGTGCAAAGAGGAGATAGTATAACATGGAAAAGGTTTGAAGATTGCTGACCTTTAGCTAATTTAAGCACAGGAACAATTCAGCTGCTCCAGGGTGTAAATTCAAATAATTTTTAACTTGCACTAGAGTGACGTATAGCAGAGAGAGGATGAAAAAATATTTTTGCCTACCTATATGGGGCAGACTCTGGCCAAAATTCGTGCCCAGACCTTGGGCCAGTCTCCACTGAGCAATTATGTGCATCAAAGATTCTCAGATTAACATTGACCTGAGCTGAAACATCACACAGTGCAACACAGCTCTGGGCTGTCAGACTGCTGCTCTCCTAATTCTGGCTCCAAGTCAAACCTTGGCAAATTGGAGACCTCTGCCCTGGTGTGTAAGGAATGCAGTCTGTACTGGCTGCAACTCCAACACAGAATTAGGGTGAGGTCTGTGGCTCTCCGATATGAATGCAGCAGTTGGGTAGCAGCCTACAGCCCCTTATCTCCCCCTCCAAGAAATCTGCCCTGCCTTAATTTTTTTCCCTCTTTTACCAACGGTTCACCCTCCTCTTTTCCTCCTCCCACAGCCCCTCTTGCTCCTTTTTGGGTCCATCTTTTGCTCTCAACACCTTTTGTCCAGCCTCTCCCACGACAATGCTGCTCATGAGTCCAGGATGGTCTGTATTCAGGGCACAATTTCTTCCATCAAAACCAGCCTTCACCTGTGGTTGACACCTCAAGTCTTGCTTACTCCAGGGCCATGGGTTGAGCAGTTAAGTGGTGAATTTAAAGAGGTATATTGTGAATAAGGAAAGATGTTAATGAACACTACTTCCAATACCGAACCCTCTCTTCTGCAACATACAGCACAAAATTTATTGGAAACTCACTAGGGCAGGGATTTTCCCACAGTATGTGGAAGTCCTATTTAGGGAGAAGCCAGTCTGTGGTGAGTTACCCACTGAAATGCTCTGATGAGTTGGTGGTGTGGGCTAAATACAGACCTGATTGCACGTCATCACCAGACATAGTTCTGAGATGCAACTAGCGTGCCCTTGTTAAGGTCCATTAAAATCAAGCAATAGAACAGAGGAGAGGTAAGTTTAAATAATCGGTGGTGTTCAGTCAAAGGTTGGACTCAATGATCTTGGAGGTCTTTTCCAGCCTGAATGTTTTATGATACTACGGCTGTTCCTCCTGCTTTGATGATAACTATATATAAAACACATCACAGAAACAGAGAGAAAAGAGCAAGCAGGAGCTTACATGGGGCTGTATGATTGTGTAACACTGTACAGCCCTGCTAAGTACCCAGTGAAATCACAGGGACCATTGCACGGACAGACTGGGAGCAGGAAAAACTTGACAGCCATTGAATACTGGACTGAACAAGAGCAGAAGAGAACAGAGTAGAGGGTAAACTGAGAGTTTCAGCAGCAAGCAGGCCTGCAGTGCAATCCTGCAGAAAGCTACATACACTGCAGCGCTCCGTACTTCCATTGCAGCCTGACAAGTCAGCTGTGTCCATGGCATATGATGCATCATTGACGTTGTGGAGCTGCTCTTAGGGAATTGTCGTATTGTGGAGCAGCAGTGGGAGCAGGGATCGCCATGTGTTGGTATGGACAGTGTCACCACTCTGGCAGGTTGGGAATACATATCTGGGATTATGTGGCATGAGGAACCAAAGAAGAAATCAGGAAGAATTAGTCAACATGTCCATGTAGGATTGGTGCCACTCTCTTTTCTATAGGAAGCGGAGAGGGGAGGACAAGTAATGCTCTGACGTTTTGCCATTAAGCCAACATGAACAGGCACAGAAAACTCCCTGCACTGGACTTGGATGTGGGAGGAACATAGTTCACTTGCAGACAGCAGAGTCTTGCTCAACAGCTAGCTGAGCCAGGCATATTGGAGCAGGGAGAAAGGCCCTGTGGCATGCAGGCGAGCTAATCTTCCTCCAGCTTCTTGTGCTGCGTGAGGTCTGTGAGCAATATACCTTTAAAGTCTGAGTGTACCTGTGCATCACTCGGCACCTTTGCTGGACGAGTGCTAGGAGAAGGAGAGAGAATGGTCATGTAGCACCTGGTTGCAAGCTGGGACCAGGAGAGATGGGAGGAACATGAAAAATCCCTGTAGGTAACAGCAATTACCATTGCTCATGCAGGGGTTGGGACAGTGGTGCTGTAAAGAAAGGCTGCTTTAGAATCTGGAAAAGTTTGCAAGGGAACAAAAAGTTTACTGGGAAATGAAGTGTGAAATAGTGCAACCTGACTGCTAGGCAGCAGTAGGGAAGAGAGAGGAAGGCAGGTGACAAAGAAGACATGTGAGGAACAAGGGACTGTGGGATTACTTTTGACCAGACCAGACTGTTTTCACAGAGTCCAAAACTCTTTCAGGACAAAAGTATTGCAGATAGTAAAATTTACCAATAAACCAGTAGAGTTTAGATGCTGGCCTGGAATTCTCAAATTTGTATAGAGAGCTGTAAAAACTCGAGTCTCAAGTTAGCCACAGGTCAGTGTGACCTTTCTCCTACATCATGGCCGTTTTTTAGGCTACTTTTTGGCCACCATGAGCCCTATTCCACCAAAGATATGCTATTCCCATTTCCCTGTGGCAAATTTTCCACAGGAAAGTAATGAACATTAATGATTTGCATTATACCAACTTCTCCCCAGCTTTCAGTTCCCATAGGAAACCCACCCACTGAGTCAGGAATATAAAGATCTGCAGAACATTTATAGTCCTGGTGCAAGTCCCCTCAGCTGTTCCATATGTCCAGTAGCATCTGTTATGGCTCAAAATAGGTTTTTGCAGTCTCCAGGCTTTGAAAACATTGTCTTGGTCTTCACAATATTCCCAGTGCTTTGCCTGCATCACAAGAACAGCTCTCAGCTAAAGGAGGGAAAACATCAGAAGACACTCTTGGATAGATTCTTGATACATGATGTAACACGGCATACCCCAGAAAGACAAAGTATCTTGCTGTGGGAAAGAAGTTCTCAATTTCTGCTCTGTGGAGAAATCAAGGCAAAGCTATGCATCTGGTAAAAGATTTGCCAAAAGCTGGGAAACTGAAGAATCACCGAGACTATGTAGCACAAAATTCAGCCTGGAGAAGAGCAGTTGAGTATTGCCAACCTTGGCACACATAGCAGAGAGGGGGAAGGGCCCTGCTAGATGTCATCCAGCCACACAGTCAAAATGTAGAGCAAGGGGAGAAGGAAACTTTTCATTTGGTTTGTGATCTCCAGGTGGATGGCTGGCCTGTGCCACACAGCTCCCTGCAACACAAACGACAGAGAAAAGCAGCTCAGTCTCAAGAGGAAGCAGAGAGATTCCCACTGATCCCAAGGACTGCTGGGTCAGTGGGAAAAAAAGAAACATAGTGCTTAAGCTGCATTGCCAAACATTCCGGAAGGACGAGCAAAAGCCAGCTCCCTCCATCCATTGCAAATGATTAACAAAGTATGAAACAATATGTCCATTTTCTTTAACAACTAAAATTTGCTGGAGAAACAGAGCAGGCACAGCCCTCCAGTTTGTATTTAGGAGCCTGGCCATATATTCACAAAATCAGCCTCACTGCATACTAAAAGGTCACTTGTTTCAGACCCCTGTGCACTCTGTATACTCAGCACTTGCTGTAACACAAGCCCCAAGTCTTTGAACAGCTGGGTTGTTAGGCTGGCTGCAAGCAGGGAAATTGTATGCTTTCAGTCACTGGGTAAAAAGAAGGGTCAGGCCATATGTGTGAGTGGGGAGGACAGAGGAAGGAGTAAACTGGACAGTGAAACTCCTGCTCCCCAGGTGGTGAGCAGAAATAGAGTTCGCGTGCACGCAAGCCAGGAAGAAGCCAGAGCTGCAGCCAACAGAGACCAAAGGAAATGCAAAAATAAACACTCAGCAAAAGGAAAGAATCCAATCCTTGCAATCAATGGCTAGGAGGGTACCCTGCAAATCTCTGACAATAAGCATCCACTGCATCTCCTAGAAAGGACAACCCTGTCATCCGTAGATATGTACAGGTACCTGTTGCTGCAAGCCCAAGAGCACAGAACTTGTCTCATTAATTTCTAAATTACTAGTGAGATGCAGGCTTTTTTGTGGGAGAGTTCTATGGTTTTTTGGTTTGGGTTTGTTGTTTTTTTTTAGAGAAGATCCTAGAAAGAACAAATTCTTGAACGTTATCAGGGATACCTGATGTGCTTTCAGCTTCCAGATATAAAAGACAATGGTCTTGGGGAAAAATAGGTGCCACTGTGGGCTATTCCTCTGTAGGTCTCAGTTCCTCCAAGCCTTTAGGGGAGGGTTACATGGTAAGTCTCATGGAAAGAATGAAAACACCCATGCAATCCATATTCCACCACATGAGGTGACATCCAGTCTTTGAAGAAGAGAGCTGTAACTGACTAATGTTGACTTTCAGGCCAAAAAAGCAAATGGACAAGAACTGAAAAGAGGAAGACAGTGCAAAGACCCAAAAGAGAGGCATGCCACTGTCTTTCCTGGATGAATGACCTTGTTGAGGGTAAGAGGCATAGTTCTACTCACAGAGAGAAGAAAATACCTCATTTGAATCATCAAGACAAAGTGATCCCATAAAAGCAGAGTTCCTGAAAAGGAATCACCCAAACAACACTCACATAAGACCCATTCAGCAGAAAGACCTTGAAACATATGTTTATTTACATTCTTTAAATCCCAGAATCTTTTCTTTTTCTCAAGGGGGATTTGGGACCATGGGGGTACAAGGCTGGCTAAGTACATTTGCTGTTAGAGTCCAAGTAAAAGAAGAAATCCAAATTAAGTCTCTAGCCTAAGTGCCAACCTGAAAGCCATATTTGCTCCTTTTAACAGCCATGTCTTTCCACAAAGTTTCGAACTCAAAATGGCTATAAAGTGCATAGATGGCTTCTAGAACAGCAGCAGAGAGCAGGATTATCAGGCACAGTTATACAAGTATGACCAGCCTATGAATGAACATGGTGGAATGTTCTGAGTCAGGAGCTTGGCTTGACTAAATTACTTCCTCATGCTGGCAGCAGCACTCTCTCCCTTTCATCCGATAGGGTAAAACAGGCACAGAATCACAGCATGGCTGAGGTTGGAAGTGACCTTGGGAGGACATCTGTTTCACCCTACCTGCTCAAGCAGGGTCACCTAGAGCTGGCTGCCCAGAACTGCTCTCATCTTTATTCTCCTAAGCAGCAACAGTAGGGTAAGGAGAAAGTGCCCAAGCACCATGTGCGCATAATTGTTATTCAACACCTTCAGCTCAAGACACTTAACCAGGAATGTTAAACCCCTCTTTTCCAAATCCTGTTTCAAGGCACATTACCTGTACAGTTGGGAGACAAAGCAGCTTATTACACAGTCTTCCCCTTTCCCTCAGAAATAATATTTTCCGGCTGTGCCCGCATGTACCATTCCACCCAGGCCCCATCGTACACTGCAACATCTGGTTTGCCACAGAGGTATGCCCCCAGAACCACGTGGCAGGCAGTGACCCCAGAGCCACACGTGGCTACCACCGGCTTCGAGAGGTCCACCTTCTTCTCCTGGAACAGAGTGCGGATTTGTTCAGGGGTCTTCTCTAAGCCAGACTCTGTGAGGAAATCAGTGAAGGGGATGCTCGTTGACCCAGGGACATGACCAGGCTCAATTCCTGAAGGAAAAACAATACAGATAGGAATTAACCTCTACTGTCTGGGACAAATCTATTGCAAAACCTGCTCTGTTTCACTGGGAGGAATATTTATTGTTTAGTGTATTTTGTTAAAACAAAAACATTTATTTTTGTTAAACTTTTCTTTACTAGATTACTGATTACTCAGGAAGGATGGCTCTAATCCTCAGGTTACCACATGGACACAACCCTGTTCTTTCTCCCACATCTTTCTCTACATCAGAACAACCCACATTGATGAAGCACTTCCACAGGCCGATCTGAGGTGAAGAGCAGCACCAGTACATGGAGAGACCAATTAATATCTTTCAAGGCATATGGAAAGCTATGTTCCTCACTCCAGCCTCTCTCATGGGAAAAAAAATACGTGACTTCCCCACTCCTGAATTTTCAAAGAGCAGCACGTGCTAGTCAAAAGGAGAGGAGGACAGGTGGACACACTGCCTCAAGTCCCATGCCATAAGGGACAACCATATTCATTACCTCTACAGGAGTCAAAGTGATGGGCACCTTAAATTAAGACCCTTTTTAAAATGCCAGTGTCTCAGAAGGCACATTACCATCTCGGGGCTCTGGCTCTACTCCTCGGAACCGTCCTGCAGCACGGGCATCTACTAGTTGGAAGCGACGAGAATCCAAATTATCTAAGACATCCTCATATGTTTTCACCAGGGACTTGTCCAAGGAGGCATGGAACTCGCATGGAGCTACCTGGGTTTTCCCAGAGCTCAGCGCATGCCCCTCTCGCTGCCAGTTCTTCAGGCCACCATCCAGAAGGGAAACAGCTTCATGACCAAAGACCCGGAACATCCACCACACCCGGGGCGCTGAGAAGAGACCTTGGTCGCTGCCATCATACACCACAACATGGGAATCATTCCCCACACCCAGCTTCCCCACATACTCGGCAAAGTCACTAGCCTTGGGCAACATGTGATCGTAAGGTGAGGTTCGGTCACTGCACTGGTCAATGTCGAAGAAAACTGCACCAGGGATGTGGCGCTCTTCAAACTCCCTCTTTGGGTCACGCTTCATCTTCGGCAAATACCAGGATGCATCCACGATTCTCAAGGCCAGCCCAGCTTGCTGGGACTTGATGGCTTCTGAAAGCCATTTTGCAGACACCAGTGCACGGTAGAGGAGTTGTTGCGACATCACTCCTGAGTCCTGGCCGAGATTAGCCAGTTCCTGAAGTCTGCCTGAATCCACCTGTCTGCAAAAGGTAGAAAGTCACAAATTAGAAATCAGCCTTTCAAAAAGCAAATGGACTAAGTTTCATGTTGGGACCTCTGGCTGCACTGAGGTGCTGGCTAAGCTTACAATGAGGGGCTTGAAGTATTCCAGCCCTGAAAATAGTTTCACAGAGCTCAGCCCAAACCCTGCCCCGAGCGGGACAGGCACGGCAATCCTGCCCTGCGCCCAGCCCACCTGGCCCCTCCACCTCCAGGCACCCTAGCCAGCGCTGACAGCAGCCAGAGGGGCGTGGGGCAGCCCCGAGACCGAGTGTCCTGGGGCGAGGCACGGCCCCACGACCAGGAGGGCTCTGCCCCATGGCTGTGCCCGCCCCGGAGCACACCTGCAGGCGGGGCCCCGCCGCCTCCCTCTGCGAGCTCCCCGTCCCGACGGGGCCGCGGTTCCCTCCGCGCCGCCCGTACCTCCGCGCTGGGCCTCAGTGCCCGCCAGCCATGGCCGCCGCCGGAGGGCGGGAGCGGGAGCGCTCCCAGCGGGCCGGTCCCGGCGCTGCCACCGCCTCCGCGCCGCCCCTCGGCCGCGCCTCCCGCCCGCGGCCCTGCCGCCATTTCGTGCGCGTGTGAGGGGTGCGGGGTCCCGGTCGCGGCGCCCCGCCTGTCCCTGGAGATGGCTCGGCAGGGGCTTAGCCGGGCGCTGGTCTCCGCCGCCTGGCTGTCGGAGGCGGTGCGGGCCGGGCGCGTGGGGTCCGGCCTGCGGGTGCTGGACGCCTCCTGGTACCCTCCGAAGGAGCGAAACGCCCGTCAGGAGTTCAAAGAGAGGCACATCCCCGGGGCGTCATTCTTCGACATCGAGGAGTGCCGGGACAAGTCCTCCCCCTACGACTTCATGCTGCCCAGCGAGTCCCACTTCGCCGACTACGTGGGGCAGCTGGGTGTCAGCAATGACACCCACGTGGTGGTGTACGACGGGGACGAGGTGGGCACTTTCTACGCCCCCCGCGCCTGGTGGATGTTCCGGGCCTTTGGGCACAAGGAGGTCTCTGTACTAAACGGTGGCTTCAAGAACTGGGTGAAGGAGGGGCACCCCGTCACGGCAGAGGTCAGCCAGCCCACCCCTGCTGTCTTCAAGGCCAGGCTAAATAGGGCCCTGGTGAAGACTTTTGAGGAGATGGTACAGAACGTGTCGTCCATAAAGTTCCAGGTGGTGGATTCCCGCCCTGAGGGCCGGTTCCGGGGGACCGAGCTGGACCAAGGTAATGGAGGTGGGAGCGGCACCTGCCCCAGAACAGGATGAGTGTCAATACTAGTCTGGGTGTAAACAGCTCCTGGCAGCTGGCAAACAGATTTTCCTAATGCACAGGCGTGCCTCCCCCTGACTTGTTGATTTACCTTAAAGGAACCACAGTTGAGCGTTCAGGTCCCAGTGCCATCACAGAATGCTTTTGTTGCAGTTGGCTATAAAGCTGTAGGAGGAAACAGGAGAAGAGGGCTGCAGTCATTTGGTTCCAAGATCCTCCATCCCACACACTGCAGAAGTTTATCAGACAGAATGCAAACATGAGAGCTGAGAGCTCCCAGGGGGTTGTTCAGGGTCCTATCTACCACCAGCAGACACACAAAAACTATCAGTATTCATACAGGCACCTCTCATCATAATGAATGCACCAGCAAAAGCCAAGGTTTTAGGTAATACAGTAACCCAAGGGACATTCTTCTTATCGCTCTGATTCCCAGCAAATAGATAACTTGCCTGAGCTGATCTTTGTTCTTTGGCTTAAGTAAGAAAAGCCCAAAACCTTTACCAAATGTATGGAGTGTCAGCCTCTCTCTTTTGGATGCCCCAAGTTACAGGAACAAAAATTGATTTTGTTACCTTGGTCAAACACTGGACGCACAATCAGCAGGGGTGGGAGAAATCCTGCACAGTGGGGACAGCTGGTACAGCAACTGCCTGGAATGAAACTCAACTTGGTTGGTAAAGGAGACCCTTGCTGTGTAATTTAAGCCTTGGTATATCCCAGAATAACTTCTCCAAAAGGGTGTAAAGGAAACTTCCCTGACTGACCGTTCAGGAGGCACTCCAGCAGTCACACTCCCACCACCAGAGACTTCACCTGCTGGAACTAAAGCCCCTTTGCAGCAGGCAGCTCCAGTGAACCAACAGGTGCCCTGCTTGACCCCTTACACATACTACACTTACACAGGTTTCCTTACCGGCTCGACTCTGGGTTTCCCTTAGCAAAGTCTCAAAAGTCTAGTTCCATAAAGCGTAGTAACACAGAAACAGCTTGAGCTGGTGCCTCCGAGGAGAGAGCACAAACAAAGGAAACACTGGACTTTTATACCTTCACAGTCTAAGCATGACAAAGTCTTGGCTCTTCCTCCAGTGTCCTCGGTTCCTGCTGTGTCTCTGAGTGTCCGGTCGCCTGGCCGGCGCCGCAGGTCCCCGTGCCCTTTGTTGTGCAAGGGATCAGCGCCGGTTCATGGCCTCTTGCCTCGGGCTTCTACCACCCGGAGCTCAACTTGCAGCTGACACTGCAGCTGCACATCAAACTACCTGCACTGAATGCATTCCTCAGTAAGGGAATCACAGAAACGGTTTAAAAAAGAAATGCAGAGGTTTTAGAAGAAAGCACAGAAAAGCTCAGCAGCAGCTGTTGACTCTGAGCAGAGCCCAGTGCTGCTGGAGCCAGGGTGTTGTGGGCTTCTGCAATTCCCGGGCAGTGCTGCACTGCTGCCCTTCAGGTTGTTGGCATTCTGTTCTGGCTGTTTACTTAATGTGTGCTGCTGTACAGCCAGTCAGTGTGACACTATGTCCTGAAATAAATTCCTGCATCCACACCTCAGGAGTGTTTGGCTGTAAATGACTCTGCACATGGTTTGCCCAAATGTCTCCAGTGAGACAAGTGTCTGTGCAAGACAGTGTGGAAGGTGAGAAAGGTAATGGGTGAAAGGGGGAGTTAGGCTTATTGTACTCCTCGCCTCCCGCAGCCCATCAAAGTGAAGGTTGCATTTTAACCCCAAGATGTGAGTAAAATGCTCCTTGCTGGGAGCTGGTGGATTTTGTGTTCCCTTTCCCAAAATGGGGGTTGTCACCAGGTGACAAATACCACGCCCCAAGAGCATCTCCAAAACAGATTTTTCCTTTGAAATGAGTCAGCATGAAACAATTTATTTGAGGTGGTCCAGTTTTGCTTCCCACAGCAGATCCAGCAGGATAAGCTCTCCAGCTGCAGCTGCTGGTTCCACAGGAGCTTGACAGCCTTCTGGACCAGGCTGTCCAGTATCTGAGCATCAGCCAGCGCTGGGTAAAAGACAGCGCTTACACCTAAAAGAGCAATTTGAAATCAATGCTGATTAATTGCAGGGGTCATCAAATCAGGGAGGGTGCAATTTAGAGAAGAAAAATGGTCATCAGGTTAAGGAACTTGCTGCCTTCTCAGGTGATTTCAGTTTAATTATTGCCTCAGCTCTTGACTTCCTAATTAAGTCAATTAATCTCTCTAGCTCCATGAACTCCATCTCTAGAAGAGGCTAATTGCAGCTGATTCTTTTACCTCTTTGGTTTTTCAGTTCTTTGTGGTAAGAATTAATTGTTCCCATTTTATTTTTATGCAGCAGCTACCTTGCTGGGATTAAGACCTCTGTAGCGGTAAAGATAAGCCATAATACATGGCTAATTTTTAGTTGCTGGGAGAAGCTTACCTCAGTTGCCCAAGTGGAGAAAAAATGGGTGTTTCTGTAAGCCAGGTCTCATAGGTCTTAAATGCAGGTGCTGCTTTGGTTGTTCGTGCGTGGTGTGGAGCATAAGCCCGTCAGATGTGCAGTCCTGACCTACGCACCGAGTAGTTAATGGTGTCCCTGCACAGTGCTGTGTTTCTGGAAGAACTAACGATCCAGAGGCAGATGATAAAAGTAATTACATGGTGGTTACCAGTGCTGGCCCTCTCTGAGTGCTGGGCACTGAAAACTGATGAACAAGAATTACAGCTAAACAAATGCATACAGAAAAGTTGTGAATTTCTGCATTCCTTTGCAGACATCTGAGAAAAGAGGGGAAAGTTGCCAGGCAAGAAGTCCATCCTCTAAAAAAGAAAGCAAACCCAAAACAATTTAATGAGCTTCTATGTGCTTTTCTTCTCATTCTCAGCCCTGGGGTTGTCCTTATCTCCCTTCTGCATACAGAACTCTTCAGATTTTGCCCATTTTCCCAGCTCTCAGTCCTGCCTCCCCCAAACATAAAGTTTTTGCTCAGCTTGAAAGTTCAGTGGGAGTGAGAATGAAATGTAGCTTTTTTTCCCCTCTCTTCTCCAAGAGGAGTCTGCAGGTGGGAGTGGGCTGGCTCTACCTTTGCCATGTAGTAATACCTGAGGCACAACAATGGAGAGTGAGAGACTTTATCAAAGTCTTTTTCAACCCACAGGAACCTACTAGGACTCTCAGGGAGCAGGCCAGGACCAAGCCTAAAGTGTTCCTTACAAGGTGTTCATTGTAGATTAGATACGATCAGTAATTGTCCCTTCCAGGAAATACCATTTGATGGAAGAGAGAGATAAACAAGTGAAGAGGTCAATAACTAACCCCAGGTTTGGGGGTGAAAACTGGAATATTAATTGAACACATGCTTCGCAATATAAGGGCCTTGGGGGCAGGGCATGTTAATGAGGAGGACGGGTTATGCTAACTAGGGGATGGATTATGCCAACTAGAAGGTTACACAATTTTCTGCTACAGTTACACAGTTGGTTAATGTTTTCCCTTAGCTAGGACCACATGGGGGGAAAAGAACAAAGGGGTTTCTACATGGTCTGATAACATCATCACAAAGTCTTTCCATATCTTGCTGAAGGAGGCATGACAATCAACATAGTTAAATATCAATAGGCCTTGTGAGGAAGTTCCTCAGTGTAAGGAGTTTCTCCCAGCTCCTGCAGTCCATGGCCTGCTACATAATCCTTTTCTGCTGATATCCGAGTTTCAGATTGCTACAAACAAGGAGGCAAGAGAGGAAGCATTTGGAAAAGAACAGCTATCTGCAGCCAGCACACTCCAAAACCACAGGGAGTTAAATATGGACAGAGCATATCTTTTACCTCTTTGACATTAAAAAATTCCATCTGGAGCTTTCATCGCAAAGGGAAGGCTAGAGAGGAGGGGCTGCAGTCTTAGCTAGATAAATAGCCAACAATAAAAAATATATGTAAGCAGAGAGTCTAACAGATGTGGAAAGGGGATTAAGTAGTGAAGAAGATAACATATTACAGGTTACAAATTGTGAGGAAGGATTGCCAGGCACCAAGCTGAGTGAGACTTGGCAGAAGAAATTAAAACAAATACAAAAACTTCTGGAACAAAGTGAATAAAAAGAGAACATGGAGAGAAAGAAAAAATAAGGTTGCTATGCAGTTAGCAGGGGTTCCAGGTAAAAGATTATTTGTGTATAGTCTCAGAATTATACTGAGTCTTGAGTCTGTGCTACCGTGTTTTCTTCTATCCTAAAGATAAGTCTTCAGAGGGATAGCAGAAATAAGGGGAAAGAAGTTTAAATTATTATTTATAAAGAGAGAATGTAGCCAGAAGATATCCCCATGCTCAAATCTATGATCTCTATCCCAAATATGTGTCAAAAATTAGTTGTGTGACATTGCAACTCCATGAGGCAAGAATTTGATGCATTTAATCAGAGAACGGTTCTGTAGGGCAGAAACACTAGCAAAGTTCATATTTTGGTTAGGAGGTACAGCACAATCTAGGCAGCTGTTGGGCTATTACCCTAACATGGATAGACTAGAAGGTTTTCAAAAAACACTTCAAGAAAAATTATTTTAAATGCAGGCAAATTTGAGTAAAATACCTCGGTAAACACTCCCTGCAGCCAAGGACTTTGTTTCCTTGCCAGCAGAATTCATTGGCTAGATAAGAAAAATGGAAGTTATGTCTGATCTTTTCTTTCAGCCATTGGAAGCACCTACAAGGTAGAGTTGTTCCATTTGGACTTCATTAATACTTTGGACATGACATTAGAGGGGCAGTTATTAGTTCAATATAAGGAGATTGGCCAATAGCACAAGTACTGTTAGATTTTTTTCAAAAAATTACTGAAAAGGAGATAAGGGAGATAAGCTTATGCTGAAAGGAGATCTGTGGGGCTAGAAGTTTCCAGCATGGTCCCATTATTATGCTTCTGTGTTTTATTTCATGTCTGAATCATCAAGGCACTGAAAATAGAGGGTTGCTATTGAAATGTGCTGCTGGCATAGCCTTGGGAAGGTCTTAATGGTCATATGGGGAGTATTATGAAGTGGCACCTGCAGATATAGAAGTGACAGGAAGTATAACACTACACAGAGTTGGGTGCTTAGTAGCCCAAAACACTTAATTGCTTATGTTTGTCTTACAAGCTGAAGACCCACATTTGGAAGCAATAGAAGAAGATAAGACTTGAATTAATTAGTTGGGTGCAAGAAGCTCAGATGCAATTTAACCTCGGTAATAGCAATCATTAACCTCCTGTCTACCAACTATGGTGCTAGGAAATGCCACTTCCTTATCCAGAAGCCTAGTGGACACCTGGAACTGTTCCTAGGGTGGCCAAGGCAGAGAAAAGCATATCTAACAGGCTCTCACTGGGTTTGGGCCGAGGACATGAGGTTGTTGAGAGTGCTGAGGGCTTGCCATCAGTCTATTGGAGCAATAGCAGAAGGGGGAAAAGACTATTTCAGCTGTAGGGCGGCTCAAGGATAAATGATGTATGGACTGACCATGATGAAGTTAATATTGGAAATCGATATTCCTCCTCACAGGAGCAAAGGAGGTCCCTCAGTGGGAAGTTTCATGACAAGAATCCAAACTGTTTCCGAGATAGATGCTTTTTTTGAGAGGGAGCCTATAAAGTGATCACTGTAGTAGCTGAGACCCAGGCTCTCTAGTCCTAGGGTTCCTTTCTGGAGTTTCTAAGGGTGACTGCAGGAATCTGGCATGGAGTATGCTCTGTCTTATATGAGGCAGGAGCAGATGTATCCTCTCCCCTCTTCAGATCCCAGCTGCATCCAGCCTTGCCTTCCAGACATATGTTTCTCTGCTCTTGACCTAGCAGAGAGAGATGATGAAACTTTCTCAACCACTCAAAAGCACTTCTTAGGCAGTCCAGGGGATTGTGGTTGTGCAGTTTCAGCTCTGTCTTTCAGCTGAACACCCACATAGGTGAGTAAATACAGTTTCTACAGAATTCCCCATCTTTTACCTGCAGAGTGCAAGCACTGGTCTCTGACTCCAACAGAGTTTTGAATCTCTGGAGCAAGGAAGTCTCCCTATAGATCAAAATCAAAACTGCTCTAAAATGTGAGTGTTCTTTTCAGATCTGCTCAGCTCCTACCCGAAGAGTTCTTTAAGGGTGATGAGTTGTCACAGTCTCCAATAAGAGAGGGGTACAAACCTATTTTAAGGTGTGTGAACAGGTTAGACAAGTGATAGTTCCTGGGACACCTAGGAACTGAATCGATGGCCCAGCAAGCTTCTTTGAGTAAGAGTTCCCTTTGAGCAAGAGTTCCCTTCTAGTTCAGCCTCCAGGACTTCCTGATCTCAGTTCACTTCCCAGTGCCCTAGGATAGTGTGAGAGCGTTGTTCTGTGGTTCACAGACTTGTCTGTATTGGGGCGATCACTGGTACTGCAGCACAGCCTTGAAGAAATCCCTTGCTGAATGACGAGGTCAGGAGCATTCACTCTGTGGGAGACTGGTAGCCTAACCCAGACCTTCTCTAGTAAGAAGCTTTGCAGTCTGAGAACTACATACGACATTTTCTCAGACTCAGGTTTTATTTCCTCTCTGTCATACAGCCACTATACTGATAAGTGAGTTTTGCAGTTCTCTGTACTGAAGTGATGAACTGTTGTTTTCTGAAACTGGAAAAATGTGGTGAAAGCATCGGTCCAAAACACTGTCTCTAATTTTTTTTTTTCTGTTTTAGATGTTAGTCTCTGCAGAAGTCAGCAGTTTTTCTCCTGACTTCTCTCAGTAATGCTAAACAATTCTGCAGGATGCATGAGGTGACTACTAGACAACTGTGCCATATTTCTAAAGCACTCAGGGTGGATGAATCAAGAGACAAAGAGGAGCCCTCTGGAACAGGGAGAGAACTTGTGAAGCTGACTCAGGACGTCTTTGGTTGTCTTTAGACTCTGTCTTTGTCCAGCAGAGCAAAATTCCCCTCCTCGATACCCTGCCAAAGCCCTGTTTTCTCTATATGATATATCTCGTCGTGTCATGACATCAGTCTGCGTGAATGATGAAACTGCAGTGTCATTATGATGTGTGATGTCAATCTCTGACTAGGTATAGTTTAGAATCATTTGTGACAGGTTTCCTGCCCCAATCTCTTCTCCTGACATCAGTTACCCTGGTGACTTGGGCAACTGGAAAGCTGTCAGTGAAACAGATTACTATGTAAGTGACTTTCTCAGGGTTGTTTCATTAGAAGTTCAAACCTAGCAAGGAATCGTTCCCCAAAATGCATTTTCCACGTAATATGTAGTGTTTCTGGCTCCAGCAAGGCTTGATCCAAAGCCTCTCAAAATCAGTGGAAAAGCTTCTATTGATTAAGCCTGTAGCGACAGAGTTTGAATTTGAAGGGCATGATGACAGCCTTATCCATCATATTTTTATATCTGCTTCTCTCTAAAAACTTCATTTTGAAATGCAACTTTCAACTTGCCTGAAGTGGTCAGCTATACCAGCAGAAAAACAGAATCCATGCTGATTTCATCCATAGAGTGGATAAAAAGTGATACAAAATCTGACTTCTCACTTCTCTGACCCCATTGTCCCAGGATAGCTGCCTCAGCAATAATGTAACTGACTTTAAAGTTGCTTTATGATTTACTGTGATTTCTGTTATTTATTTTTTTAAAGTATGATTTTAAGGTACACAAGAATAAACTGTGAACATATAGCTGCTTTCACAAATTCCACATAGGGACCATGCTTCCTGCTTCTGAAAACTGTTTCTATGCATTGCTAGCATACTTGGGGAAGCTCAAAAATGCACTGCTGCATTCCTCTTTACATAGATGCCTATAATGCCTTTGTTAGGGCTTTTTCTGTGTTGGTTCTTTGGTTGCTGTCATGTCTAGGGCTCTGTCAGATTTCTACTTCTCGCTGCTTTCAGTGGGGAAAGAGTTTGCTAAATATTCTGGAAGCTTTGACTTCGGCAAAGTTGAATAATCTTTGTCCTCCTCCTTTTAGCCCTGTACTTCTTTGCATCTTCATCATCAAGTGAAACAAACAAGTCTGTTGGAGAGAGTGAAAGTATCTGCAGTGATGCCTCTTTAATATCTCTTTCTTGAACATCTTTCACCACCTACATTAATGTGTCCTTGCTCACATTTCCTTTTCCTGTTCACTCTTGCAGGGCTGGAATCTGGCCACATCCCTGGTGCTGTGAACATACCCTTCAACTCATTCCTATCCGAAACTGGACATGAGAAGAGTATTGAGGAGATCCAAGAAATATTCCGTGCAAAGAAAGTGGATCTCTCAAAGCCACTGACGGCCACATGCCGCAAAGGTGTCACGGCATGTCAGATTGCCTTGGCAGCCTTCCTGTGTGGCAAGCAGGATGTGGCTGTTTATGATGGTTCCTGGTCAGAGTGGTTCCACCGTGCCCCACCACACTACAAGGTCTCTGAGGTGAAGCGCAACAAGGCCTAGAGGGAGAGCTTTGTCTTGGACAGTGAGATCTAGCAGCTTTTTCCAGCCCAGAGTAAAGCGAAAGGGAGGAGATAGAAGTAAGGAAAAAATATGCTGATTTGTATTTTGCAAATTTTGTTAAGAATGGTCAGTAGATTTCTATTAATCTTCTGGTTTTTCTCAATTAATAAAATCTAAGATGATGCATCTGTGAATATTTTGAACTCTTCTCTGTTACCTGTAACATGCTTGTGCTGAGTGGGAAAAGCAGCTTTGCAACATGAAGGAGAGTTACACACTTCTGTGGAGACTTGCAGAAATTCCAGTAGCCTGATGAGAGCTCGGGTCAGGAGGAGGATGAATGAAAAGTTAGGGGCTAAAATATTGGACTGGATGCGGGACACGGGAGGGTCAAGCAGTGGTTCTGTCATTAATGTAAGACTTTTTACCAGGCCAATCTCTTCCCATTTGTAATGTGGAAAATGGGGGTGCCTTCCATGTGCCAACCAGATCCAACCCATCAGGAGATGTGTTACCTTGCTGGCGTTCAGGTAAGGCACATCACAGAGGAAATTCCCAGCCCACTGATTATTACCCTCTACTGGTTTTCCAGATAGGCAGCAATGAGGTCCCAACAAGAAGGCTGCAAACAATCAAGAGGGACCTCAGGGTCTTGGGTCAACGGATCAAGGGATCTGGAGCACAAGTTGTGTTCTCTTCTATCCTGCCAGTTGCCAGGAATGATGGGGCAAGAAACAGGGAGATCATGTAGATGAATACCTGACTTTGAGACTGGTGTTACCAGCAGAGTTTTGGGTTTTTTTGATTGTGGGTCAGTTTATACAACATGGAGCCTGCTGGCAACAAATGGGGTCCTCCTGTCTCAAAGGGGGAAAAGGATCTCAGGAGTTAGAAGGGCTTATTGAGAGAGCTTTAAGCTAGATTGGAAGGGGGAAAGGGACAAAACCAGGCTTGCCAGTGATAAGCAATGGGGTGGCATGCCAAAACTTGAGGATGTGAGTGCTAGTAAGATCCCTCAATCTGCTCCATGAGGTGTCAGCTACAATGAACCACACTCAAAATGATTCTACCAATGCACACAGCATGAGGAACAAACGAGTGGCTTGAAGCTTTGGCCCAGTCCCAGAGATACGACATCATTGGCATAAATGAAACTTAAAGGATGAGTCCTGTGACTGAACTGCCATGTTGGATGTTTACAGGCTCTTCAGGAGGGATAGGCAGGGCAGGTGAGGTTGAATATGAGTCAGCAGTGCCCTGGCAGCCAGGAGGGCCAACCGTGTCCTGAAGGGCATCAGGCAAAGCATCGCCAGCCGGTCGAGGGAGGGGGTTGTTCCGCTCTGCTCTGCACTGGGGCAGCCTCACCTTGAATATTGTGTGCAGTTTTGGACACCACAACAACGTTAGGGAGCATCCAAAGGAGGGCAACGAAGATGGTGAAGGGTCTAGAGGGGAAGCCATATGAGAAGTGGCTGAAGATCACTTGGCTTGTTCAGCCTGGAGTCTACAACTTTCTCTTGAGGGGAAGCGGAAGGGCAGGCACTAACCTCTTCTCTCTGGTGACCAGTGACAGGACCTGAGGGAATGGCATGAAGCCATGTCAGGGGAGGTTTAGGTTAGATATTAGGAAAAGATTCTTTGCCCAGAGGGTGATCCATCACTGGAACAGGCTCCCCAGGGAACTAGTTATGGTGCCAAGTCTGACAGAGTTCAAGAAGCATTTGGGCAACATTTTCAAGTACACAGTATGATTACGGGGGCTGCCCTGTACAGAGCCAGGAGTTGGACTTCAACAATCCTATTGAGTCCCTTCCAACTCAGGTTATTCTACAATTCTATGATTCTCCTTCCTCTCTGATGAGGGTCAGGAGCTCATGTGAAGCATTTGGAGATGCTAGAAGATCCAGTTCTACTGACATACAGTCTTGTTGATTATCGTGACCGTGTTAGGAAAGTCTCCAAGAAATCCTGTGTGTGATGTGAACTTCTGGGTACAGATATTTCATGAGACATGGACCTTTTACTCTGCTCCTTGTTTGTTTTTCCAATCTGCCAGGATAACCCTTTACGCCATGTGGATTCTGTTTCCCATGGAGATGGAGCTCATAGAAGGAGGGAATACTGTTCCCCAGCAACCATCTCCACTCTTCAGCTTCCATTCCACCTCTACACCTGAACTTCAGCAGGACCTACCTGCTTGTACAAATCACTGTGACATCACCAGGGATCATGGACCAGGTGAGATAGGTAGTTATGGAAGAGGCTTTTCCTCTTGGTAAATCATGGATCATTCCTTTAAAAAAAAAAATCCAGTCTTATTTTGATATTCGTGGGGCTCCTCAGGTCTGAAAAGTCAATGAAACATCCTCATATTTTGGAGACCCAGTCAAATGTGGAAGGTGTATGAAACCACTCTTGGCCACACCTGGTGGCTGGTGAGAATGGCCAGTTCCTACACCTATCTGAGGAGGTTAGTTTTCTGCCTCAAAAGACAGCTCCCTCTTCCTCCAAGGCTGCATGTCAAGAAAGTCAGTGTTGGGCTATGCTAAATCTTTTGTTCAGAAAGAAAGATCAAGTTTAACCATTTTTAGCTCTTTGATCAAGATATGTTTTTCTGATTGATTGTCTATTGCCCATCACAGGATTGGCTTAGCAAAGGAATAAGACATACTTCTTGTGACTTCTGTTATTGAGGAGGATGGTAAAATGGCCTTAAAGTCCTTCTTGGCATCAAGATGTAGGAATCTCTGAGCGGTGCTTTGACTTTGGACCCTCAGGGTCAGAAGTAAAACAAGAAGCATGACAATAACATCATATACAGTTACAAACTAGAAAGTAGGAACAGTTTCAGGCTTCAGTGTCATTTTGTCCAGGAGTAACCGGTGAAAGGAAAGTTATTGATGAATGGGATTTGGGAAATAGGCACATTGCCTCACTACCCAGAAATTATGCTTTGTTGGAAGAAATGGGAGAAGAGGAGGAATTTCTACATCAGCAGACTGTAAAGTTCTTTCCACTGAATATAGTAATAATAACAAACAGACCTGGTTTTGTTTTACGTAGGAGGTGGGAGTTAACACAGCAGTTTATTTAGCAGCACAGATTCCTGCACTTTGATCATGTGTAACCGTATGGTTCTTCTTTAAAAAGAATCAACAGTGACAGAGAAAAGAAGCAGATTGTGCCCTGTGAGTTAGGACTGGCTTCTTCTCTTCATCTCTTGTGGCCCTGTTCTTTTTGTGGAAGAGGATCTGTCCCTTAATACCTTTGCAGAGCATGCACCACTGACTCCTGGAGTCTGACTGATACAGTAACTTCAGCTTCAGGATCCCAATATTGTATAAGACATGCTACTGAAAAGAACTGGCACAGTGTAAAACCCAAGCTGGTGGTGGTTCAAGGCAGCCCTGGTGAAGCACTAGGCTTCCTACCCCACTGGCTGGTGTCTTCATTCCAATGACTGCCTCAAGAGCAGAAGGTAAGCCTGTATATCATGTCCTGAGCTAATTTGACAAATCCAAACATACATCCCTACCTGATCCAGATCCCATTTGAACTGCTGCTAGTGCCAGCAGACTCACAATTATCATATTTATCACCATAGGCCATAGTTTCAGTTTTAACAGCACTGAGGGAGACTCAAGGACAGACCCAAGTCTCAGGGATTAATCATAGCTCAGAGAGCTATGCAGGGGTGGAAATGCCAGGAGTTTGCACTTTGGAAATGTGGAATGACAGTGGTTCTCTGTTGTTTGTGTTTTCAGCAACGTCAAGCTCAGTGCAATGCAGATTTAGACACAGAACAGAAAAGACTCACTGACTGTACTGAAGTGACAAAAAAGTCCTTGGACTGGACATCTCTTTCAGATTATGAGCAGCTGGGTTACAACCTGAGATCAAATCTCTTCCAAGGTGAGGGGACACACATGCCTATCCCTGACCTTCAAAGCTGATTCCATCTATGCTTTGCCAGGGCTCAGGGCAGCCACATTGCTATGTGCAGACATCTGACTATAGGTGATACTCACTTTCTCTGCTTATTCCTTCTATCCACAGTCACTGCTTTTCCAGATTGTGGTACTTGAGGAAACAGAATCTAGATCCTCCCATTCTATTCTATGTATCCTATCCCTTTCTTTGCATTCAGTCTTTTTTTTCCAAGGTGTGAAAAGCAAACATGAGTCATGACTCTTGTCCTCCATGTTCAGAGCTGTCCAAATGGACACCATTTGCAATTCAACGTCCACTGTCATCTCCAGTTGCTAGTTATCTCCAGTTCCAGTATTGACTTTATTTCTCTTCAAGACCTTTAAAGATGTGGGGCTCTGAAATATCTTGCCCAAACCTCTGTTTCCAAGGTTCCCCAGGATCCTTCCATCAAAACAAATATTAGAAACTGAGCATTCATCCCGTTTTGTTACCATCATATCCAAGAAACTCTGAAATAATTGTCTGTGATTCTAGTTTCTCATGTAGCAGCATAAGACACATTCCTTTTCCTTGTACAGTATGTTCCATGTCAAGACCTTGCTGGGTATTGAAGACTGCATTGTCCTCGGTTTGTGTAGTCACACAGAAAGGAAGGACATCTTTCCTCAGGGAGCTGAAAATCATTATTGTCAAGAAAAAGGTGTGATAAAAAGGAAGATGAAGTGGAAAGGATGAGAGAGTAAAATAAAGCCCCCTCATGGCTAAAAGTCAAGAGGGGATGAATGGAGAAGTCACAGTTGGGAATTATCTGTCAAGTATTGTGGCAGAAAAGGAGATCAAGAAGGGCTGGAGTGTTAAGATGGTAGTTTTTTTGTGGAGTTGTGCTGCTGAGTAGGAAGCTACTCACGTGAATGAGGAGATTCAACATGAGGTAAGTGGGCACTCGACTAAAGAAAGGGCACTGGGATACGAATAAAGATGATACCTTACAGCAACCTCTGTGTGTATCTCATACTTGAGGATGAAAAGCAGATAAATTGGCAAACACAAGCTCCCTCCTGAGTGATGATGAAGCTATTGTTCAGCACTAGTCACAGACCTGATCAAAGGTACTGCAGTAAACTCGTGCCTTTTCTTCAGCCCTTGAAACTGCTGGTGTTGCTCCCCCGATCAATTCCAGGACTGCAGTAGGGTGATTTCTGCATACAATTCCTTATTTGCTGTTCCTTGCAGGTGGCCCACTGAAGAGCCGAAGCTTGATGAGAGATTCCTACACCCCTGATATAATTCAGAAGGCAATCAGAGATCCCAAAAATTGGCATGGAAGGAGGATTTATGAGCTAGGTATGACTTCTGCAGGAAAAGTACATTGCTGAATTCCTTAGATGGGTGCTGCTTCTGCCAAGGACAATGAATGGGTTTGGGCAAAGTCATAAGAGGACTAAAAATTGGCATTTTAAGAAGAGAGGAGCTCTACAGCTAGAATAATCTTTGGGGTATAATAGCAGTAGGAAGGAGGCTGTATCTGAACTATGATTTGCCTTCTTTACAGGGAAATGGTATGAGAAATATTTCCTAGATCTTAACGTGCAGAAAGCAATGAAGGACAAATACGGGGATAAAAAAGGCAAGCCTTAGAAGATGAGGGTTGAAGACTGGAGTGCATTCAGCAAGGGATCTTTCTCCTCAGCCATCTAATAAACCTCCATGTAAAACCTGAACCCATTGCTTGCTAACTGTCAACAGCAGGTTTGTTGCTGGTTCTCTCTTGCCCTCTATTAGAGTGTCTCCGGGGAGAGCAATGCAAGATAACTCTGAATATAAATGCAAAAAAACCCAAAACACTTTGTTGGTCACTAGTACAGCAGGAATGATTGGTGTGTGAGGCACATACCTTTGCAGAGGGATGTGGTGGTGAGAGAAGCCCATACAGAAATTCATCTACTCAGCACCTAAGTTGGAGTAGGACCTGTGAGCGGTGTAAGAGGGTGATGGTGGAAGGGGTGCATGTGTGTGTGTGAGAAAACTCATGTTTGCCAGAAGGTTTGTGATACGTGGACAGCTGCCCCAGCAGTCCAGAGAGAACTACAGAGGATGCACTGGGAACAAACCAAGGTTGCCCAAGGACCTGAATGCTGTCTTCTTCTCTCACTGAAGACTATAAAGCTCCTGCACAGGAAAGCTTCAGATCTGTGTATACAGAGCAGCTAGACAGACCAGAAGAACCAGCTCCTTATTGATACTTCCAAGGTGAATTCAGGCTCTCTTGCCAGAAAGGCACCAAACCATGTCCTCTTAATAACCTGGGCACGGCTCTGTGTGATTGGCACCCTACGTGGGGTAGGCAAGGAAGGTTTTCTGCACACCATTCTAATTCTGTTGTTATATCCGTCACATGGAGGATTTCAGGGAGCAGCAGTAATGCGCAAAAGCAAATGGAAATTCACTTGAGAAGAGGAGGCATCAGTGCATTCACTAAAACCTACACTATTTGCAGGCCAAGCAAATGAAAAACCGAACAACAGCTAATCCCACCTAAAGGGAATAGGAAAGCTGCAAGAAGCCCAGGACTTCTCCAGTCTGCAAATCACCCCACAATGTGCACGGACCCTTACTGAAGCTCTCATAAGCCTTACTTGTCCCTGACAGCCCTTTCCCTAACTCAAAGATAAATGTCTCTCAGAAAGAAACACGTATCCACCATACAGTCTGTACAATCTGAAATTCAAGAGTGTATTTGGACAGTAAGCAAGGACCACCCAAGGGCTTGAATGATACAGGACATGCAGGGTCTTTAGAGCTTCCTGATGTGTTTTTCTCACAAGTTTAATGGTCCTTATTGCAGGATTCTGCCTTCCAGCTCCAAAGAGTAGCAGTTTGGTGTGCCAATCACAAAGTACATTTCTGGGAATAGTGATGCCCTGATCTTTCCCATCTGGTCCTAGGTTTTCCCACTTTAAAAGATTGATGCTTTGCTCCCTAATATGAACTGTTTTGGGACAGAATTAGGATTGTTATTTCACCGTTGGCTGGTGATTAGATAACAATATGCTGACTTTGTTAAAATAGTGAAGGAGGTTAAAATTTAACTAATATAATAATCAAGCGATAATCATTTTCCACTGCCAATAATTAACCATTTGGACTTCTGATATTTCCAGGCACATGTCCAAGTCTTTGAAATTAAGGAGACTGGCCAAATGGCAGGTTGTAGAAACCTCCCTATGGGTTTGCTTTGTACATCAGTACTAACTGGCTCCTGCCTGAGCACACGACACACACTAGCTCTGGCTGAAAAGTGCAGCTCTGTAGGAACAGCCTGTTCTCTGTGTTGCAGCCAGCTCTGATGGCCAATATAACTCCAGGTACATAATAAACGCTGTCTTCTGAGACCACAGCGGGTCCTGATCCAGAAAACATGGAGCTGAGCAGAAATCTACTGACGTTGTTTGGCATACTGGAAGCAGGCAGTTCAGGGCACAAGCAGCTAATACACAACACATAATGTGGACTGAATCTGCATGTAGAATTACAGATCTGTTTCTACTAGACATTAAAAATGCCTATTAGCCATTAGAAATAGACACTAGGGCAGGCAGACTGCAGGATTATGGTACAGCTTGAGGTAAATACCCTTTTGCTATCTGTGAAGGGCTCATAAAGAGACTGGATCAAAAGGGAAATGGACTGAAACGTCCTGTTGGTGCACCACTGTGCACAAACTGTGCATTTCCTCTTGCAATGGAATGAAGTCACTTGGTATGCTTTTTACAAATTACAATATTTTATAAGCACTTAAATAGTATAAAATACTTGGCATTGTATAATGCACTCAAATGGTGACAGCTGTTTGATGATAAACATACATGTGGCGATCCCCCTTCATCTTCTTTGCTTTGCCAACTGTTACAGATCAGCCAGAGACAAACATTTTTAGACAGGTGACACACGGCAAGCTGCAGAGATAGTTGAGATGATAGCTTTCAGTGAGGCAGCATAGCCTCTGGGAACAATCAATAACTGAATTCTCTGAGTGCTGAACAGACAAATTTAGCCAGAACCTTGGTCTGGACCATTTCCCTGTGTGCACTCTGTGTTGACTAGAGTGCTTTAACTACCTGAACATGTGTAGTCAAAGCCAGCTTTGGAATCTCCAAGTATCATGCCATATGAAGTTAGACAAGAATAGAGCCAAAATAAGTGCTCACTGCAGCTGAAATCTCTCTTCTATCTGTTCTTCTGCTCTCAGCAGTTCATTCCTTCTTGTTTGCTTTGTGCTGGTGTTGACACTTCTCTATCCATCCTCTGAACTGAGTCAACTTGATAAACCACAAGATAATCAATACAGAAGAAAAAAACCCAAAGCAAAACAAAACCAAAAATGAAGTTAATAGGTTAACAAATTGAAGTTTCTAAGCAAAGAACCTTGTTGGAGACAAAGAGATGCAGATGTTGGGGAAGGGGAGTGTAAAGACAGTGGAGGGGGAAATGGCCTTTCTCTGCCTTTTTAATGCAGTGAGAAATTAATTTGTCTCCGCTATTTTGTCTCACTGGACTCAGTGCTTTGCAGCACAGGTAGCCTGTATTTAAGTGATTTTACACGATCTGGTCATTGGGTGGCAGCTCTGAGCCAATGTTTTTATCTGACAGGGCAGAACTCGGGGAAAAAAGTGAGATTTTCTCTGGTTTAGCTAAGCCATTCACCAAAATTGCTATTTAAGAACTGTTTTGGTCATCTATAAACAGTCAATGCACTTGAAATAAAGATAATTATACTATTAAGATTTGAAACAGAAGGGATCCATTGCATCTAAGCTTCTGCAGCACTCTCCTCATTACTTTTCCTTGCAGTAATGGCTATTTCCAAGTTCAGGCTTATGCATACCTGCGGTCAAGGCACAGACTGTTTTGCAGGATATCACTTTTAAAAAAGATTTCCTGTTCTCCAAGCAATATTTTTTTTCTTTTCATTTAACCCTCTGACCTCTGCCTATCTCATGTTATCCTGAACAATTCCAACCTTTGGTATCTCCACTGTGAATGACTTTGAATAGCTCATATAAAGAGATGGTGACAACTGTAAGAACAGAAGACAGTCACTGCAAAAAAACTCTTATCAGAGTCTTCAGCCTGCTATTCACTTCAATCCTTTGTGCTGTAAAGCTTGCACAGAAGTAAAACTTAAATTCAGAGCTACATCTATCCTGAGGTAAGCCCAGTATTCCTAAAAGAATGGAGTACTTACTGCTGATCCTACCTATAATGGGATAAAAGAGAAATCCAGCACTGCTTGAAGTGTCAAGAGATCACAACAAAAAGCGAGTGGGTGAATTGACTTCAGTGGATTTCACTCTTGGGCACTGGGTTTAAAATACAATTGTGTCTTATGTTTGAAGGTATTCAAAACAGTTATTCATCAAGAGCGAATGGTGATTTGAGGGTTAGGAATTACCAGTGTAGTTCCCCTTGATACTGGTAGAGCAAAGGAGCCATGCAGCAAGAAAGTTAAAAAAAAAAAAACTCAAATAGTGTGTTCCTCATGGTTTGCTTTGGGTTTTATTTGCCACAGACTCCTCTGTGACAGAGCCAAGGCTTCACGGACTGAAGCTGCCAAGAGCAGTGACTTGGTAGGAGAGGTGGGATCACTGCACTTGGAAACAACATTTCCTTACAGATGGAGAATGGGCTCTCTCAGCTCTGGGCAAAACAGGGGCAAGGGCTACGTTACCAAGAAGCTTTCAGGTTCTATTTCTGATTTTAGTAAACAGGCCTACCAATTTTTATGCTGAGTTGCTATTTTACCCCTTTTAATAACATTCCTTTTTGTTTAAACTCTTGGATTCATTGCTCCTGAGCAGGAAAACTGATTATCCAAGCTCATTATGTGCCCAAGCAAAATCATTTTCTTTTCCTATAACCTGAGAGCCTTGAACTGAAATTGATTAACTATTTTTAGAAAGAAGCCCTAGCTAAATCTGGCTTTTTCCCCTGCCAATCTCACCTATCAGGGGAGTGCAAAACAAGCCTATCTAAATGCAGGTGCATGGAAATTATGACCTGTCCCTTTTACCAAATACATTAATATAACTAAGAAAGAGGTAGGTTTACTTGAGATCTTTCACCATGTTGGATTAGAATCAGGAGAGGAGAGGTAGCATTTGTGGAAAGAAAATGTGATTATGATGGTGTCATTTTTCAAATTTTTTGATTGGTTGTCTAAGACACCTACAACTCCAGAAGGCTTTTCTGAATCTCAAAGCTGGCTACTTTCCTTTTCCAACAGCTTTCTTAGGGTTCTGAAGACCTGAAAGATCTCAATATTCTGTGCATTTTCTTCCTTGTCCCTGATGGATCCACCATCATGTGCGGGCTCTCTGATCATTTTAATGCATTTACAAAACTTATTTACTTGGTGTGATGGGTTGACCATGACTGGCCTCCGGATGCCATATATTCTCACCCCTCCCTCCCAGTTGTGCAGCAGTTTTTACCCTTTGTTAGATATGTTATCAGAGAGGTGCTACTAAGCCACTCTGTCACTTGCCCTCCTCAACTGGACAGAGGGAGAGGAAAACTGCTACAGTGCTGCCAGAATTAAATATGACTACACAGATCTCCAATACAGGTTCTTCAGGAAAAAAAATACTCCTTTTCAAAAAATATGTAAGGATATTTTTGTGGGTTCTGAATGTCTATGGGGACTTGAAGGGCCTCCAAACAC